TAGGGGAGGGAGATGTGATGCTCGATCCCCTTTTGCGTCAGGAATGTCTGCATCTGATTACTCCTGAATTCTGCCGCGCCGTCGGACTGCCAGATCTTGAGCTTCTTTCCAGATTGCCGCTCCGCATGTGCTAGCCAGAGGCGGAACACCTCGTAGGCTCTGTCGCGCGTCTCCACGTTCACGACCCATACATAGCGTGTTCCTGCGTCGATGAAGGTAAGCGTGTAGAGTTCGTCTTCGATTCCGCAATGCCCCACGTTCAGGAAATCGCTGTACACCTTGTGCAGCTTGGGGTATCGGTTGGTTCCAGGTTCGAGCAGCGGGAACGGTTGGTGGCTCAGCGCAGCTTCGGGGCAGACGGTGCAGTTGCGCGGATGTGTCGCGCCACTCACTTCGGAGCCATCAGGGCGCAGGAGTGCGCCAGGAGCGAAGACACCTGCGTCGATGCAGTTTTTGAGCGTCGCGCGGGAAGGGTGTCCGAGGCGCTGGTGCCAGAGTGCATCATCAGCGCGAAAGCCGGAGGTGCGCATATAGCGCGCGCGCGCTTCCTCGGGGTCTTCGTCAGGTACAGGAGCAGGTTCTGCTGCTACTTCTTCTGCTTCTTCTTCTGCCGCGGTGGTCAGCATCAACGCCAAGAACTCTCTATCGCAAATTTCAGAGAGCGGGATGTTGGTCCCAGGGATGGTTCCAGGAACAAGGGTAGGTTGGCGTGGTTCAGGGGCAGGTCCGTAGATAGTGCGACGCGGGGTTGACGGCTCGTTGCCCCAGGTAATGGTATCCCACGGGTCGCGATGCGGGGGAATGTCTGCAGGAGGTGGTGCGAGGGGAATGCGGCGCGGGGGACGACCGAGAGGAACGACTGCAGGTGCTGCTTCGGTCTCCGCGGCTTCTTCCTCTCCCCCCCTTCGTTCTTCGCGGGAAGTGCCCCAGCCGCTATTGTCGGCGCCAGATGCGGCGCCCCATCCGCCGCTCGCGTTGGCCCAGGTGCCGCCGGTGTCACCCCATCCGCCAGTATCACTGGTCCCCCATCCACCAGCGCTTCCCCACCCCCCTTCATTGGAGGCGCTTGCTTCTTCCTCAGCTCCCCAGGCGGTGCAAGCGAAGGTCCCGCGTGCTTCCGCGAGGCTTTGCTGGCGAAGCTCCTCGGCTTCGCGGCGCGCCAGTTCTTCCTCCTGTTCCACGGCGATTTCGGCCGTGTGGTCGCGCCAATGGGGGTAAATCTTTTGAAAATCTTCGCGGGAGTAGGGTCGCGGCACGCCATGCGCATCGAAGGTGCCGACGCCAGTTCCGCGGAGCATCCCTCGAAGGTGTTGAGAGGGCGGACCGGCAAGAGGGTACTTAGGCGTGCCGAAGACGCCATGCGTGGTGACTTCAAGTTCTAATTGCGACATGCCTTCTTCTGGTGGCGCGTGATGTTCTGCTTCGGCGATGGCGGCGAGTCCGCGGCCGGCAATGGCGCTAGTTGACGTCGTCGGCGTGTGGCAGTCTTTGCACATGCCGTCTGCGTCAGGGTCGTGCAGCGCTGTTTCTCGTGGGTGTGGATGATGTGGCACCCACGGTCTCCCGTCAGAATGCTTCCAGTCCCTGCGGTGGATGTGCTCGAAGCGTAGTGGCACGAGATCGATTAGTTCGTGCGAGTCGCCGCTGCAGTCGGGGATGTCAAAGTCTAGGACGTACACCCCATTGTCGGAGTGTGCTCGTCCGATCTGCCTGCGGAGGAAGTTGCGCGCTTCGTAGTGCAACAAAATATCGCGCGTCGCGCGGTCCGTGCTGAGTTCGACGCCGCAATCCATGAGCTGTGCGGCGGACAGGAGGTTGAAGCGCAGGTTCTGGACGATCAGCACATCGTTGAGCGTGATGTGCGTGCGGCTCCCGCGTGCTTTGAGCACGACGATGCCTTGCGCGCTTGCGCGCAGGCGCGTGTTGTTCGCCACAGTGACATAGGTGGCGGTAGGAGTGGGGATGGCGTTGGATATGTAACGCTCGGAGCCCACCATATGCTGGCCGCAGCAGCTGTCCAGGTACCAGGTGTTGTAGCGCTTGTTGTCGTCACGGGCGAGCAGCGCCAGTCGCGGTGTGACGATGTGCGGAGTGTCGAACTTCAAAAATTGCTCGCGCGAGAGCCAATCAATTGGCGCCACCCGCATATCAGGTACGTGCGGGGGACTTTCAAGCAGCGGGACTGGAAGGTTCCAGTCTTGGTCGTCGTCGTCGGTGAAATCGTGGCGCGGGTTGAACGGGTTGTTGTTGGTGAACGCGCCAATGGGGTGCGGTGCCGGCTCGGGTGAAGGCGAGCGGGCACGGCGACGACGCGATTCGCTGGTCATGGCCATGTTGCTCATGACGTTGCGAGCTGGGGCAGTCGGTGACGGCTGCTGCTGCTGATGCTGAACCGCTGGGTTCAGGTTGCGCGCGGAAGGGGGCTGATACCCCTGGGCATGACGCGCGTCGCCTCGTGCGTCTTGACGGCCGGACCAGGTGCTCGGATTGGTCTGGCGAGGGCGGGATCGGTACTTGCATCGATCCGCCAAATGCCCGAAATTTTTGCAGATTTTGTAGTAGAGGCGCCGTGGCTTTCGCTCTTCGGTGTTGTCGGCGTAGAAGGCGAGCCTTTCGCGTTCTCGTCGCGGCGCAGGTCGCTGCTGATCCATATCCCTCTGTTCGACGAGAAGGGCGGCGCAAAGGGCGGCCTCCGAGATGACCCCCTGCTGTCGAAGAAGCGCCTTGCAGGGCCGCCACTCTGGGCCGAGCCCTTGAAGCACGATATTCACGAAGATTTCTTCCGAAATCGAGCTTCCCAGCTTCGCGATTTGATCGCGAAGGCTTCGACAGCGATTGATGTAGCTGTTGGCCTTCTCCCCTGGGGCCATTTTTGTTTCCAGTAGCTGCTGAAGCAGCCGGCTCGAGGAGACGGAGTCCTTCGGCTGATACACACCGTTGAGGTGTCGCCAGGCTTCAAGGGCTGGGGCGGCCGAAGTCTTGTATGAGCGTATGCTCAGTTGCTCCGTCGGTGCCATGTTCCGCAGGAGCACCCCGTACGCCATTAGGGACTCGTTGTAGTAGCGGGTCCTGGCGTCGTCCGTGTCGTCGGCAGGCTCCGCGTAGCTCCCGTCGAAATAGTGAAAGATTTGGGCGTTCTGCAGCAAGAGCTCCAACTCGAAGCTCCAGGTATAGAAGTCTCTGCCGTCAAAACAAGTACTTGTCTTTATTTTTGATATGCTCAGAAACTTTGATTGAGCAGAGAGAATTGCCTCTTCACTGGGACGGGGAGCCTTGGGGGTTGAGCCATTGGTGTCGAGAGAGAATGTGTGCGGGGCGGCGTTCTGGCCAGTTGGGGCCGGTTGGGATGGTTGCGAGGATGTTCCCGCATCGCCGTTCCGCAATGTTTGGAGTCCTTGCTCCAGGCTGGTGAGTCGCTGAAGAAGTTGTGCGAGAACTTCGGTGCCGATCGTCGTCGTGTTTTCGCTTGTCGCAGCCGGGTTGGGTTGCGCTTCAGCCGTTAGATTGGTCTGACCACCAGATCCTCCGGCCATCTTCACTCGTGAGCGTGTGCCGGACGCCACTTTCCGAATGTCGCAATTTTTGGGAGTGGCAGTGCGAAGGATTCCTGAGCCGCTCTCATACCATGCTGAGATCAGAAGTTGATCGTAGCCCAGGATCTACCCAGGAAGGTTCGCACGTAGTGAGATAGTTTGGTGGGCCCTTGACCTCAATAGCAGAGTGAATGTAAAATGCTTTGAGATGAATAAAACATGCAAATACAACGATATAAATATGAGTACAGGGGAATACGAAGCGACCTAGCTAGCCATATACTCTAAGGGGTACATTCCCTTATTCGAATTCAAACCAACCGTGCGGCCCGAGCAGTTACGAAACTGTTCCCGCCAGATTCATTGTCCCTGCAGCTGCCCGATGCCGTTTTTCTCCGCTAGATCCACCCTAACCGTCTGACGCTTCGAGTCAACTCTGACTCCTCGCATTCGTTCTCGATACTGCATGCCTCTTTGCTGCGGTGAGGAGTGCACAGTAATATCAAGTATTACTATTCGTAACAGGCGACAAAGCAGGGTACGAAGTTACCACATCGAAGGTGGCCGACAGTGTGCGACGGCGATCGATCGTGGCTGGAACTGGTGGTGCGATTTTGATTTCCGCTCTGTCAATCGCACGATCGATGTGGCAGTTTGAGCCATCCGATCAGGAGTTTTATGCGTGTGCACAATTTTCGCGACATGCTTAACGACAACGGGATACATGTCTTTCACGAAATAGCGAATACACTGTAGATGCTGCACACCGATATTTCACGGGATCGGTGTTGGACATGTGACGCGTCCTAAGCGGGAAGCACACACACCACATCCAGAAGGGACGTGGGTGATCCTCACAGATTCGCGATGTAAGTTCGCCATCGCGGTTTCCGTCGCCTTCCTTTCGCAGGCATCGTTACGTTGGAGTATCTGGGAAAAATGGTTTGAGAAAAAACGAACGGTTGAGTGCGGTGAGTCTGACAAGCCCGAGGGTTTGTTGTTGTTGAGGGGTTTGTATTCATTCATTGATCCTCCCAGAAATGTCTTCATTCACTCTCGTGCTCTTCCCCCAAGGAATTCTCATCCAGTCTGACTGACCAAGCTTGTTGACATTTAGGAGTCAGGTTTATATGATTTCAGGCAACAATGACAGCCGGATCGCCTATCCAGCAGTTGCCTGAAGATATTCTTTCTCGGATCTTACGTATTTTGGTTCGACCTGATGGCCTGCCGGAGCACGCACTTGTTAGCAAGCAATGGCATCGCGTCGCGTACAGCGTGCAATACGAGCTCCGCTTGCCTGATAGCCGCCGTATGAATCCGCATCGGCTCGTTCAGCTTCTGTCGTTGTTCCCCAACCTGGAAAAGTCAATCCTTCCCTATGGCAGCCTCACCTCTACGCCTAACTTTTTATTCTCTCACCTCGCTAGCACGTGTCACCATTTGACCCAGCTTCGCGTCGAATCGATGTTACTTAGATACGGAGGTGTAACCGAGAAGAGTCTCGTTGCGCTGTTTGAAGGGTGTACGCGGCTGGAAGATCTTTATGTGTATTGCTCGAAGAATGCTGCCATTCCTCCGTCGACTGACCGACTTGCTTTGCTACAGCACCTGGATCTCGTAGCAAGCGTTAAGCGTCTTCCCGACACACTGACTTCGTTACAATCACTCAAAACCCTCGTGCTGAACACTTACGATCTTGAGGCTTTGCCGCTAGACTTCGGCAATCTGGTTTCTTTGACGTCGCTGGAGCTGAACGATTGCCGCTTGGCGTCACTTCCGGAATCTTTCGGGCAGCTTACCGCTCTTAACCGCTTATTCTTAAGTGACTGCTCGACGTTGCAGTTGCCGGCCTCTTTCACCGAGGTATCTTCTCTCGCCGTTCTGGAGTTTCGAGATTGCAGCATTCGTCTTCCGTCGCCGGTCAATTTCGGTCAACTGGGGGCACTCGAAACCGTTATCTTGGTTAGAGTGAGCGGAATGCGCGACTTGGTTGCTAATCTGGAGCATTTCCAGCAATTGAAGACTCTTATTATCAAGGACTGCAGTGATATACCGATTCTGCCCGCGTCTCTTCCCCGCCTGCCTGCACTCTCTGAACTCACCCTGGACATTGGACAAATCTCATTGCTGCCCGAAGATTTCGGGCAGCTGTCAACGCTTCGGACACTCGTGCTAAGTCTGGCAGATGTCACAGCCTTACCCGATTCCATCGCCCTGGTTACTACGCTTCAAGAGCTTTCTCTCAATCACCTTCGACGGCTGACATATCTGCCCCAGGAGTTCGGGCAGCTAATTTCTTTGGAGAAGCTGTGTATGAAAGGCCTTCAACAGCTCAGACAGCTGCCCGAGACATTCGGGCAGTTGATAGCTCTTCGGGAGCTGAAAGTTTTGCACTGTAGCCAGCTGCGGCAACTCCCGGACTCCCTGTCGCAGCTGTCTTCTCTAGAGCACCTGGAACTTAGCTACTGTCTGCGCCTCACGGTGCTGCCAGATGACATGGGGAACGGTCTGCACTCCTTGCGCCAACTGCTCTTACTCAACTGCACCGCTCTCACCCACCTCCCTCCATCTTTTTCCGGCCTCACATCTCTCGAAACCCTCGAAATTCTACACGCGAAAGTCTTCAGGGGCACGCTGCTAGACGGCTTTGGCTCCTTGAAAAGCCTCAAGAAGCTGTCGATTGAGGCTATGCCGTGCCTATCCGCCCTTCCTGCTTCTTTCTCGGGCGTTTCTTCCCTCACCAGTCTGGAAGTGGGAAATTGCCCGAAAGTGACGGTCCTTCCAGAGGGGTTCGGACGGCTGAGGGCGCTCGAGGAGGTCAGGATCTTTAGAATGGACGGCCTGATATGCCTCCCCCCGTCGCTTCTTGACCTGCCCCGTCTGCGGGCATTGGACGTGCGGGCGTGTGATGGGTTAAGTGCGGTGCTAGGCGATGAGGTGCTTAGACGTACTGCAAGGGGCGTTGTGACCAGCGTCAGCAGGCGGAGCAGCAGCCGCCCTTTGCTTCCTTCCATTCAAAGCCTCAAGTTAAAGGAGCTTAATGTTGAGTCTTTTGGCCCATCCCTTGGTCGTCTATCCTCTCTGACACAGCTGAAGCTTCTGGAAATGGATAGGCTTAAGTCTCTCCCTGATTCCATTTCTCAACTCTCGCAACTGCAAAGGCTCAAGGTTCACTCGGCTTCTATTCTGAAAGCACTGCCCGAGACACTTGGAGGGCTGGCAGGGCTGCGTGTCTTGCAGCTGGTTTACCTCACGACTATGCGGCAGTTGCCCGAGTCTCTCGGGCAGCTGAAAATGCTCGAGACGCTGGAAATTATTGATTGCTTCAAGTTGATGCAGCTTCCGGATTCGTTTGTGAATCTGCCAAAGCTTCAATCCTGCTCTCTTATCAAGCTCGGAGTCTCAACCATCCCGGATGATATCTGGAAGCTTTCTTCCCTTCAGAAGCTGCTGTTGCTGGGTCTGAAGCAGTTGCGAAGCTTGCCGGATTCGTTTACTCAGCTACCTAGGCTTGAGGAGTTAGAGTTGTGTGCGTGCAAGAAGCTGACTCAGCTGCCCTATTCTCTTCGGAAAATGCCGTCGTTGCGGGAGTGCCGCATCAATGAATGCCCTTTGCTGGCCAGGCGAGACACAAGAGGAGTTTTTGTAAGGAGAGCAGAGGAGGGAGAGGAGGGGGGGAGGGAGGAAGGGGATGCGGAAGAGGATGAGGGGGAGGAGGGAGGCGATGTGGCTGGTGAAAGGGAAGAGGCAGGCGGGGAGTCATCAGAGGAAGAGGAGAGTGGCGGTGAGGATGAGGAGAGTGGTGGGGAGGATGACGAGAGTGGTGGTGAAGATAGTGATATAGAGCATGAGTATGCGCTGGACAGTGATTATGAGATGGGTGATGGCGGAGGCTGGGGGGGGAGTGATGACGATGACTAGTTTGGTAGTAGGATGAGGGCGAAATTGGTGTGGCTTGGACGTTCGGGATCCGGAGAGCATGTATTATAAAGCCTATAATTCTGCATGGGGAGGATCGATGTGTATAGATGGGGTGCGTTTTTTACCAGCTGAATGCACTCGGCAATGTGCAGCACTTTTTCCTTGGGGAAATGCCTCTGGTGAATTACTGGGGACCATCTTCCCCTTACTATGGGGACAATAGGGGCTGTCCTGTCATAGAAAAACGGGCATTTTCCCATAAGCAAAGCACCATTCATATTGCTAATGATATTGTACCAGGCAGAATTGGTTGGTCATGATGGTAACATCATATCACCTGGCTGGCTGGCTTATCAATATCCGCCACCATTTTCCATTGTTGGTCTCGATATAAGCAGGGAAGCAGCCTCAGCATCCCTCACCTCACTCACACTCCCAGGCACCCCCACACACACTCCTCTTGACACACTCTCTACCACATCCCCCACCGCCGCCCATGCCCCCGCCGCTGCTCCTCCCACTCCTGCTACTCCTGCTACAGAAGACCCTACTCCCCCTACCTCCCCGCCCATTCCTCTCCCACCTCCTTTCCCTCTTACCCCTTGTCGTTGCTTTCCCTTGGCCTTGCCTCCCCCCTTAGGAGCCGGGGCAGAAAAGCCGCTCTCTAGAAGAACGCTGCTGTCTGCATCCCCCTGCTTAGCCTGCCCTTCGTTATAAGCACCCCCAGCAGGAGAGGCAGCAGCAGCACTCATGGAGGCGACTATTCTGGATGCCCAATTGCTAGTAGAATATTGGAATGCCTCAGAAGCAGCAGGGGGAGAAGGAGCAGGAGAAGTAGAAGCAGCAGCAATGCCCGAAGCAGCACCATAAGCACCATCACCAGCGCCATCAGCACCAGCATAACCAGCCGTATAATCTGCATGACCCTCCATAGTCCCAACATGGCCTAGTGGCACATCCCCCAGGTCTGGGTCTAGGGACTCTAGCACCTGAGGTTCCACGTCCAGGGGCTCAAACACCTGAGGATCCACCTGAAGGTGCTGCTCATAGGCCTGCCGTATCTCATGCATCGTGGGCCGGGCGGCAGCGTCGTCCTGTATGCCCACATGGAGGCATGCCGAAATTAGGAATCACAAACATGGGGAGATGCAGATATGGGATAAAGGATTACGGGGACCAGTGGCAGCAGCATGGCTAAGAGCAGACAGGCCGATTGACCGAGAATGTAGTGTTTTTGAGGCATCAAACAGATATGCCGCGCAAAATATCTCACCAGTACACATGCGCGTGGCAGCGATGCCAGCACCTCCAGCTGCGGCTGATCAAAGTGCCCTCCGAGTTCAAGGTTGAAGACGACTCTCAAAGTACATGAGTGAGTGCCAAGCAAGAGAATCAGCATGCATGTTCTGCCTGCTTCAAACCTCTCACCAGTACACATGCGCGTGCCAGTGATGCCAGAACCTCCAGCTGTGGCCGGTCAAAGTGCCCTCCCAGCTGAGCGTCTGCCATCAGAGGCATCATCTGTGGATCGTCCAGGAATGGTGCCGACTGGGCAAGAGGGAGGAGGTCAAGGGGAGGAAGGAGAGTGCACAACACGAGAAGGGAAGGGGCCAGCAGGGTAAGGAGGAAGGAGAGGAAGAAGGGGAGTGCCTGAAAAAACTGTAGAGACAGTGAGTGCCCTACTGCTGACTCAATACAGACTAAACACTCACTGTAGCGATGATCTGTGTTGTCCCGCCTGCAGTCTGCCCCGTTATAAGCTCCAGCAGCAGCACCCCACAGGCCAATCCCTCCTTTACAAGCCGACTCAATACGAATAACAAATAAAAGCACACTTACTGTAGCAACAATCTGTGTTGTCCCGTCTGCAGTCTGCCCTGTTACAAGCTCCAGCAGCAGCACGCCATAAACCATTTTCTCCTTTACAAGCCGACTCAATACAGACTCAGAGACACTCACTGTAGCAACGATTTGTGTTGTTCCATCTGCAGTCTGCCCCGTTATAAGCTCCAGAAGCAGCACCCCATAGGGCGAGCCCGCCTTTACAAGCCGACTCAATACAAGTACAAGAGCACTTACTGTAGCAACAATCTGTGTTGTCCCGTCTGCAATCTGCCCCGTTATAAGCTCCAGAAGCAGCACCCCATAAGCCAGCACGTCTGCAGTCGTCGCCACACCAAGGGAAGACTGCAACGGACGAAACCCCGAAGCATCGGAGCTGCCTCGGGCCAAACCTAGGTCCGACAGCTGGCCAGGGAGGGGCAGCGTGGGAGTGATAGGCATGGGGTGCAGGAGAAGAGGGGAAGAGGGAGAAGGTAAGGGTGGTGTTCAAGACAACTGCTACTGCGGAACCCCGAAGCTGTGGTGCTGCCTCGGGCCAAACCTAGGTCTGACAGCTGGCCGGGGGAGTGGGTGGGGATTGGGGAATGGAGGGGGAGGGGGAAGGGGCTAGGCGAGGAGCATGGGAGCGACAGGGGTTGGTTGGGGGTGGGGAACGTCTGATAAGGCAACCATACTTCACCTCTGCTTTTGAGTCGACTCAAAAGTCAGAGGGGAACGTCTGATGAGGCAACCATACTTCACCTCACCAGGCATTAATGCATTAATGGTTGCCTCATCAGACGATCCACTATATACCCGAGAAAACCACTGCCTCATCACAAACAGGCCCCACAACCAAAACAACAGGCGAGCAGTACCTTCGCAGTCATGTCTTCTGTTAGAAGCACATTGGATGACGTCACAGCGCGGTGCACAAAGGGCGGCGTGTGATTATAGTGAAGGTGATACAACGCAGCCGCCACGTCCACTGCTACTTGCACCCTCTCCTGCCACGTCAGCGCGTCCAGGTCACCTCCTAACATGATTCCGGGCAGAGAGAAGAAAAAGAGAAGGCGGGAAATGAGAAGTGAGGACATTGGGGGTGTGAAATTCACCGCATTGTTATAGCCAATAGCCAGAAATAAACATCATCACCATTTTGACACAAAGAATTGGGATGAACTGAAGCGAACCAAGCACTCACGGATCATGCGTTGGCGCAGCGTGCCCTCTGTAACCAGCTCCAGCACCACCATCCCCTCTCCCCTGCGTGTATGGCACTACCCTTTAGCACAAGGGATGCTGATGTGACTTGAGACACTCACGGATCATGCGTTGGCGTAGCGTGCCCCCTGTGACTAGCTCGAGAACCACCATCCTCTCCCCTGCGTGTGTGGCACTACTTTTCCACACAAAAGGTATGGTGATGTGACTGAAGTTTGAGACACTCACGGATCATGCGTTGGCGCAGCGCGCCCCCTGTGACCAGCTCGAGAACCACCATCCTCTCCCCTGTGTGTATGACTCTTCTTTTTGACACAAGGTACGTTGATGTGAATCAAGCACTCACGAATCATGCGTTGGCGTAGCGTGCCCCCTGTGACCAGCTCGAGAACCACCATCCTCTCCCCGCCATTCGCACAGAACCCCCTCACGTGCACCATGCACGGATGGCTGTTGCTCGCTGCTGCCAGCAGTGCCACCTTCTGACAGAAGGCAGATTCCGAGAAGCCTGCAGGGATGTTGCAGTGAAAGTGGCGGAAGGTGCGTGAAAGGAGCAATCGGATGAGAATGATGAGATGAGAGTGGGGAGTGGGGAGGAGGGAAAAGAGCAGCTGAGGGAGGAGAGGGTTGGAGGGAAAAGGATGTCAAGTGACAAGGATGTCAAGTGACAAGGGGAGCAAAACAGGATACCACTTGCTCGAGCAGTGGATGGAAATGGAATGGAAGCGAAACAGGACAGCATGGAGGCAACATGAATTGGATTTAAGCCACTCGCGGGCAACAGGACAGCATGAAGGCAGAATGAACACACATGGGCGAAGAGAGAAAGAGGCCACTCACTGTCCGGGTCGCGAGCTCGTTTCAGGAGCCCATGCCTCTCCGGATTGGGGATAGCAGGCGGCATGGCATGAGAGTTAGCTTGCATGTACCCATGCCCATGCCCATGCCCATGCCCATGTGATGCACCGCCATGCCCCCTCCCTCCCTCCGCTCCTCCGGTGGCCTCTGGAAAGAGGTCGTACGCGATATAAGCAGTCCCGAAGCTCCCTCTACCGTGCTCCGTGGAAAAGCCCCTGGTTGCGGCACGGAGGCGTGACACTGAGAACTCGGGCAAATGGGCTGGGAGGAAGGGAAGAAAAGGGGGCGTGGAGGTGAGGGGACGGGAGGAAAGTGATGCATGCTTGCAAGTAATCCCTGGCACGAAGAGGGAGAAGAGAGAGAGAGGCAAGAAAGCAGAGAGAGAAGAGAGAATGGGCAGCAACATGAAGCATCAAGCGTACACAGACAAGAGCATGCGTGACTTAGGCAACAATTTGGATGTCTAGTCCCTCACTCACTCATCTGTTTCTTCTTGCTGGCTTTGACTTTAATGTGATGGACGGTGCCGAAGAGACCGAAGAGCACAACACAGATGACTGTGACGATGAGCAGTGCTAGCAGGACGTACGCCAGTGGTGGTATGGACGCTGGTGGGTGGAGGGGAGAAAGGAATGGAGAGGAGAGGAGGATTGAAGAGAGGGAGAATAGGACAACACAGGCCACCGTGACGATGAGCAGCGCTAGGAGCACGTATGCCAAAGGTGGTATGGACGCTGGTGGGTGGAAGGGGGAGAGTGGTGTAATGGAAGAAAGAGGAAAGGAGGATTAGAGGGAGAAGAGACTGGCACGAGCCGTTGTGACGATGAGCAGCGCTAGCAGGACGTGCGCCAGTAGTGGGATGGACGCTGATGGGTGGAGGGGGGAGAAGTCGTGTAAGGGTAAAAAGAGGAGAGGAGGATTAGAGAGAGGCCGAAGAGGACAACACAGATGACTGTGAGGATGAGCAGCGCCAGCAGAACGTACTCTAGAGGTGGTATGGACGCTGGTGGTGTGAGGGAAGAAAGAGGAGAGGAGGATTAGACGCCAAAGAGAACAACACAGGCAATTGTGATGATGAGCAGCGCTAGCAGGACGTACGCTAGTGGTGCTATGGATGCTGGTGGGTGGAGGGGGGAGAGTGGTGTAAGGGAAGAAAGAGTAGGGATAAAAAGAATAAGAGGCAGGAGAGAGCAACACAGATGACTGCGACGACGAGCAGTGCTAGGAGCACGTATGCCAAAGGTGGTATGTTTTTGAGGCGCCTAAAAAACGATCTTTTTGAGGCGCCTCAAAAACGACCTCAATGCTAGGAGCACGTATGCCAAAGGTGGTATGGACGCTGGTGGGTGGAAGGTAGGGAGGGGGAGTGGAGGATGAAAGAGATGGGGAAAAGAGCAACAGAACCAACTGGCACATAAGGGATGGCAACATGAAGGAAGGTACATACAGGTACTGGTGCTTTTGCATGCATGGCATACGTACAGGTAGTAATGTTGCTGCTGCTGCTACTGTTGCTGCTGGGAGCAGAGGTAGGAGGCACATAAGGGGTGGCATGGAGGCTTGCAGCATGATAGTACATACAGGTACAGGTGCTTTTACATACATGGCATACGTACATGTGCTGCTGCTGGAGTCGCTGCTGCTGCTGTTGCTACTGTTGCTGCTGGGAGCAGAGGTAGGAGGCACATAAGGGGTGGCATGGAGGCTTGCAGCATGATAGTACATACAGGTACAGGTGCTTTTACATGCATGGCATACGTACATGTGCTGCTGCTGGAGTCGCTGCTGCTGCTGTTGCTACTGTTGCTGCTGGGAGCAGAGGTAGGAGGCACATAAGGGGAGGCATGGAGGCCTGCAGCGCATGCCTGGTCAGGTGCGTTGTCCAGACAGTTGTGGTCGTAGCTGGGGGGTGGGGAGAGGGGGGAGGAAAAGAGGGGAGGAGAGGGGGGAGGAAGAGGGAGAAGAGACGGTTTCTCATAGTGATGGGTGGCAGCACGGAGGCCTGCACTGCATGCTTGGTCAGGCGTGGCGTGTCGTCCGGACAATTGTGGTCGTAGCTGGGGGGTGGGAAGAGGGGAGGACAGAGGGAAGGAGAATGAGGAGGAGACGAGGGAGGAGAAAGTTGTGGTCGTAGTAGCAGTGAGTGGGAAGAGAGGGGGAACAATTAGTCAGTGTGTTATGGTTGGGGGAAAAAAAAAGGGAGTAGCCCTGAAGGAGGTGTGTACGAACTGTAGCGAAATAAATCGGACGAAGAGGTGTACACGAATTGTAGCCCATAAAAAAGGGGTGTGCATGAACTGTAGCCAGGGGTGTACATGAACTGTAGCTCGCTGCCGTCGGGTAATTCAGGAACAGGCCCTGACAGGTTGTTGAATGCAACTGACCTGTTGGGGAGGGAGAGGAAGAGGAGGGGGGAGGAGAGGAGGGGTGGTCCAGTAATGGAGGGATGGTTAAACGGAGAGGTGGAATGCAAGAGAGAGTGATGGCGAGGCGCAATAAACCTTCTCTTAGTTCTCCTTTAAAATCCACCAACTAGTAAGATCTCACGAAACGAAACCTACTCATTGTGTGTGTGTGTGTGTGGGTGTGTGTGTGTGTGTGTGTGTGTGTGCGTGTGTGTGTGTGTGTGTGCGTGCACACGTGCGCGTGTGTCTGTGTGTGTTAACTTTCTCCCAAAAACCAGCTACTAAGATGCAAGTGAAGCCACGCTTAGCAGCGTCTGGGCATGAATAGGTGTGTGTGTGTCTGGGCACACACACAGGACTTGAACGGAGGGGCTGCCAGTTGTTCCTTGGGCTTACACAATTCAGAACCTGGGCACCAGGCTCGGCTCGGCGCACAAGGCTCGGTGCACGAGCCTCGGCGCACCACACTTACAGAATCTGAAGCGTCGGCATTTCGACGAGACAGGGAGGAATGGTTCCTTGCAGCTGATTGGCCGAGAGATCCAGGTCAGCAACCCTCGGCATGTCACAGATTGGGTCTGGGATTACACCCGAGAAGAGGTTGTGTGCGAGGTGGAGGGTGGTGAGGGCGGAGAGGGAGGAGAGGAGGGGCGGAAGAGGGCCGGAAAGGAGGTTGTGGGAGAGGTGGAGGGAGGAGAGGAGCGGGAGGAGGGTGAGGGAGGGAGGGAGGGAGCCGGAGAGGGAGCAGTACTGGAGGGACCTGATGGGGGAAAGAAAGGGGGGGATGGGTGGGGGAGAGATGGACGTTTTTTTAGGCGCGTAAAATATCATCTCACTGCAGAGGGAGGACGGGTGAGGAAGGGAAGGAACCGGAGAGAGAGCAGTACTGAAGGGACCTGATGGGGGGAGGATGGGGGGGGAATGGGGAAGAGATAGACGATATTTGAGGCTCATTACAGTTGGCAAGTGGGTCAGTCGCTTTTTGAAGGGGGGAGAAGAGGAGTGAAGTGAACCAGCAAGGGAGGTTAAAGGGAGGGACATGCAGAACACAGTTCACACGCAGACATGCGAGTCACATGTGTGGTCGTATGAGAAACAAGAAGAGAGAGAGAGAGAGACGGAACGTACAGTGACTGGAGTGTGGTCAAGACAGCCAGCGATCCTGGTATAGATCCGTTGATCCCGGTGTTATGGCTCGCACCACTGGTGGTAGGGTAGGGCCGATAGGGATGCGAGAGTGGGAACAGGCAGAGACAGGGATGTGAGAGGTAGGGTGGTGACAGGGATGTGAGAGGTAGGGTGGTGACAGGGATGTGAGAACAGCCAGGGATCCTCCTGGTAGAGTAAGCCCGGAAGGGTGGAGCCAGGAATCCCTGCCAGGTAGAGACCTGTTGATCCCTGTGTTATGGCTTGTGCCACTGGCGGTGGGGTAGGTACATGGTAGGGTGGAGAACAGGCGGGGGTGATGAGAGGGATGTGAGGGCGGCAACAGCCAGCGATCCTGGTAGAGAGCTGTTGATCCCTGTGTTATGGCTCGTGCCACTGGCGGTAGGGTAGGGCCGGAGGGGTGGAGCAGGTGGGGGAAGGGAGGGCGGTGAGGGGCATGTGAGAACAGGCAGAGACAGGGATGTGACAGGGAGGGAAAGTAGGTGGGGGGAGGGAGGGTGGGTGGTGTGAGGGATGGATGTGAGAGTGGGAACACCCAAGGATCCTGGTAGAGAGAGCTGTTATGGCTCGCGTCACTGGTTGGGTGGGATAAGTAGGTGGGTAAGAGAGGGCGATGACAGGGAGACATGAGATGAGAACAAATGTACGCTCGAGTTTAAATTCAGAATACATTTAAGAATCTAATAAGAATACGTCCAGGAAGACTCGTTGATCCCCGTGCTATGACTCTCATTACTGGTAGGTAGGGTGGGCGTTGGAGTGAGAAGTCTCACGAGTGAGCACTGTGAGTGTGAAAGATGGGCGTAAAGATGGGAGTGTAGTTTGAGGCGCCTCACAACTAGATGGGAGTGTAGTTTGAGGCGCCTCACAACTAGATGGGAGTGTAGTTTTGAGGCGCCTCAAAGTGAGAAGTCTCACGAGTGAGCACTGTGAGTGTGCAAGATGGGCGTAACCATGGGAGTGCGTACAGGTGAGCGAGGAGGGGCAGGTATTGAAGGGACTCTGGAATGGGGCCGTCTAGTCGGTTGTTGGAGAGAGTTTTGAGTCGAGTCAAAAGTCACCTAGTAAATATAGGAGTACGTACAGGTGAGCGAGGAGGGGCAGGTATTGAAGGGACTCTGGAATGGGGCCGTCTAGTCGGTTGTTGGAGAGAGTTTTGAGTCGAGTCAAAAGTCACCTAGTAAATATAGGAGTACGTACAGGTGAGCGAGGAGGGGCAGGTATTGAAGGGACTCTGGAATGGGGCCGTCTAGTCGGTTGTTGGAGAGAGTTTTGAGTCGAGTCAAAAGTCACCTAGTAAATATAGGAGTACGTACAGGTGAGCGAGGAGGGGCAGGTATTGAAGGGACTCTGGAATGGGGCCATCTAGTCGGTTGTTGGAGAGAGTTTTGAGTCGAGTCAAAAGTCACCTAGTAAATATAGGAGTACGTACAGGTGAGCGAGGAGGGGCAGGTATTGAAGGGACTCTGGAATGGGGCCGTCTAGTCGGTTGTTGGAGAGAGTTTTGAGTCGAGTCAAAAGTCACCTAGTAAATATAGGAGTACGTACAGGTGAGCGAGGAGGGGCAGGCATTGAAGGGACTCTGGAATGGGGCCGTCTAGTCGGTTGTTGGAGAGAGTTTTGAGACGAGTCAAAAGTCACCTAGTAAATATAGGAGTACGTACAGGTGAGCGAGGAGGGGCAGGTATTGAAGGGACTCTGGAATGGGGCCATCTAGTCGGTTGTTGGAGAGAGTTTTGAGTCGAGTCAAAAGTCACCTAGTAAATATAGGAGTACGTACAGGTGAGCGAGGAGGGGCAGGCATTGAAGGGACTCTGGAATGGGGCCGTCTAGTCGGTTGTTGGAGAGAGTTTTGAGACGAGTCAAAAGTCACCTAGTAAATATAGGAGTACGTACAGGTGAGCGAGGACGGGCAGGTACTGAAGAGACTCTGGAATGGGGCCGTCTAGTCGGTTGTTGGAGAGAGTCCTGCCGAGGAGAAGTGGGGCAGGTGGAAAATAAAATCACAATAAATACAATGAAGGTGAAAGGCTGCTTAGAATAAGTAAGCGGAACATAGCAGCACACACTAAGCACGGGTGTATACATCCACGCATCATGGGTGCATGCATATGGACATCAAACAAAGCAGGATGGCGTGGTGTAACTCAGTTCGATGCGGTGCGCCCCCATGGATTAAGGCACGCCCCCGGATTAAGGTTCACCCCCGAATTAAGGTTCGCCCCCGGATTAAGGTTCGCCCCCGGATTAAGGTTCGCCCCCGGATTAAGGTTCGCCCCCGGATTAAGGTTCGCCCCCGGATTAAGGTTCGCCCCCGGATTAAGGTTCGCCCCCGGATTAAGGTTCGCCCCCGGATTAAGGTTCGCCCCCGGATTAAGGTTCGCCCCCGGATTAAGGTTCGCCCCCGGATTAAGGTTCGCCCCCGGATTAAGGTTCGCCCCCGGATTAAGGTTCGCCCCCGGATTAAGGTTCGCCCCCGGATTAAGGTTCGCCCCCGGATTAAGGTTCGCCCCCGGATTAAGGTTCGCCCCCGGATTAAGGTTCGCCCCCGGATTAAGGTTCGCCCCTGGATGAAGGTTCGCCCCCGGATTAAGGTTCGCCCCCGGATTAAGGTTCGCCCCCGGATTAAGGTTCGCCCCCGGATTAAGGTTCGCCCCCGGATTAAGGTTCGCCCCCGGATTAAGGTTCGCCCCCGGATGAAGGCTCGCCCCCGGATGAAGGTTCGCCCCCGGATTAAGGTTCGCCCCCGGATTAAGGTTCGCCCCCGGATTAAGGTTCGCCCCCGGATTAAGGTTCGCCCCCGGATTAAGGTTCGCCCCCGGATTAAGGTTCGCCCCCGGATTAAGGTTCGCCCCCGGATTAAGGTTCGCCCCCGGATTAAGGTTCGCCCCCGGATTAAGGTTCGCCCCCGGATTAAGGTTCGCCCCCGGATTAAGGTTCGCCCCCGGATTAAGGTTCGCCCCCGGATTAAGGTTCGCCCCCGGATTAAGGTTCGCCCCCGGATTAAGGTTCGCCCCCGGATTAAGGTTCGCCCCCGGATTAAGGTTCGCCCCCGGATTAAGGTTCGCCCCCGGATTAAGGTTCGCCCCCGGATTAAGGTTCGCCCCCGGATTAAGGTTCGCCCCCGGATTAAGGTTCGCCCCCGGATTAAGGTTCGCCCCCGGATTAAGGTTCGCCCCCGGATTAAGGTTCGCCCCCGGATTAAGGTTCGCCCCCGGATGAAGGTTTGCCCCCGGATGAAGGTTCGCCCCCGGATTAAGGTTCGCCCCGGGATGAAGGTTCGCCCCCGGATGAAGGCTCGCCCCCGGATGAAGGCTCGCCCCCGGATTAAGGTTCGCCCCCGGATTAAGGTTCGCCCCCGGATTAAGGTTCGCCCCCGGATTAAGGTTCGCCCCCGGATTAAGGTTCGCCCCCGGATTAAGGTTCGCCCCCGGATTAAGGTTCGCCCCCGGATTAAGGTTCGCCCCCGGATTAAGGTTCGCCCCCGGATTAAGGTTCGCCCCCGGATTAAGGTTCGCCCCCGGATTAAGGTTCGCCCCCGGATTAAGGTTCGCCCCCGGATTAAGGTTCGCCCCCGGATTAAGGTTCGCCCCCGGATGAAGGTTTGCCCCCGGATGAAGGTTCGCCCCCGGATTAAGGTTCGCCCCGGGATGAAGGTTCGCCCCCGGATGAAGGCTCGCCCCCGGATGAAGGCTCGCCCCCGGATTAAGGTTCGCCCCCGGATTAAGGTTCGCCCCCGGATTAAGGTTCGCCCCCGGATTAAGGTTCGCCCCCGGATTAAGGTTCGCCCCCGGATTAAGGTTCGCCCCCGGATTAAGGTTCGCCCCCGGATTAAGGTTCGCCCCCGGATTAAGGTTCGCCCCCGGATTAAGGTTCGCCCCCGGATTAAGGTTCGCCCCCGGATTAAGGTTCGCCCCCGGATTAAGGTTCGCCCCCGGATTAAGGTTCGCCCCCGGATTAAGGTTCGCCCCCGGATTAAGGTTCGCCCCCGGATTAAGGTTCGCCCCCGGATTAAGGTTCGCCCCCGGATTAAGGTTCGCCCCCGGATTAAGGTTCGCCCCCGGATTAAGGTTCGCCCCCGGATTAAGGTTCGCCCCCGGATTAAGGTTCGCCCCCGGATTAAGGTTCGCCCCCGGATTAAGGTTCGCCCCCGGATTAAGGTTCGCCCCCGGATTAAGGTTCGCCCCCGGATTAAGGTTCGCCCCCGGATTAAGGTTCGCCCCCGGATTAAGGTTCGCCCCCGGATTAAGGTTCGCCCCCGGATTAAGGTTCGCCCCCGGATTAAGGTTCGCCCCCGGATTAAGGTTCGCCCCCGGATTAAGGTTCGCCCCCGGATTAAGGTTCGCCCCCGGATTAAGGTTCGCCCCCGGATTAAGGTTCGCCCCCGGATTAAGGTTCGCCCCCGGATTAAGGTTCGCCCCCGGATTAAGGTTCGCCCCCGGATTAAGGTTCGCCCCCGGATTAAGGTTCGCCCCCGGATTAAGGTTCGCCCCCGGATTAAGGTTCACCGCCGGATTAAGGTTCGCCCCGGGAATAAGGTTCGCCCCCGGATTAAGGTTCGCCCCCGGATTAAGGTTCGCCCCCGGATTAAGGTTCGCCCCCGGATTAAGGTTCGCCCCCGGATTAAGGTTCGCCCCCGGATTAAGGTTCGCCCCCGGATTAAGGTTCGCCCCCGGATTAAGGTTCGCCCCCGAATTAATGTTCGCCCCCGGATTAAGGTTCGCCCCCGGATTAAGGTTCGCCCCCGGATTAAGGTTCGCCCCCGGATTAAGGTTCGCCCCCGGATTAAGGTTCGCCCCCGGATTAAGGTTCGCCCCCGAATGAAGGTTCGCCCCCGGATGAAGGTTCGCCCCCGGATTAAGGTTCGCCCCCGGATTAAGGTTCGCCCCCGGATTAAGGTTCGCCCCCGGATTAAGGTTCGCCCCCGGATTAAGGTTCGCCCCCGGATTAAGGTTCGCCCCCGGATTAAGGTTCGCCCCCGGATTAAGGTTCGCCCCCGGATTAAGGTTCGCCCCCGGATTAAGGTTCGCCCCCGGATTAAGGTTCGCCCCCGGATTAAGGTTCGCCCCCGGATTAAGGTTCGCCCCCGGATTAAGGTTCGCCCCCGGATTAAGGTTCGCCCCCGGATTAAGGTTCGCCCCCGGATTAAGGTTCGCCCCCGGATTAAGGTTCGCCCCCGGATTAAGGTTCGCCCCCGGATTAAGGTTCGCCCCCGGATTAAGGTTCGCCCCCGGATTAAGGTTCGCCCCCGGATTAAGGTTCGCCCCCGGATTAAGGTTCGCCCCCGGATTAAGGTTCGCCCCCGGATTAAGGTTCGCCCCCGGATTAAGGTTCGCCCCCGGATTAAGGTTCGCCCCCTGACTAAGGTTCGCCCCCGGATTAAGGTTCGCCCCCGGATTAAGGTTCGCCCCCGGATTAAGGTTCGCCCCCGGATTAAGGTTCGCCCCCGGATTAAGGTTCGCCCCCGGATTAAGGTTCGCCCCCGGATTAAGGTTCGCCCCCGGATTAAGGTTCGCCCCCGGATTAAGGTTCGCCCCCGGATTAAGGTTCGCCCCCGGATTAAGGTTCGCCCCCGGATTAAGGTTCGCCCCCGGATTAAGGTTCGCCCCCGGATTAAGGTTCGCCCCCGGATTAAGGTTCGCCCCCGGATTAAGGTTCGCCCCCGGATTAAGGTTCCCCGCCGGATTAAGGTTCGCCCCGGGAATAAGGTTCGCCCCCGGATTAAGGTTCGCCCCCGGATTAAGGTTCGCCCCCGGATTAAGGTTCGCCCCCGGATTAAGGTTCGCCCCCGGATTAAGGTTCGCCCCCGGATTAAGGTTCGCCCCCGGATTAAGGTTCGCCCCCGGATTAAGGTTCGCCCCCGGATTAAGGTTCGCCCCCGAATTAATGTTCGCCCCCGGATTAAGGTTCGCCCCCGGATTAAGGTTCGCCCCCGGATTAAGGTTCGCCCCCGGATTAAGGTTCGCCCCCGGATTAAGGTTCGCCCCCGGATTAAGGTTCGCCCCCGGATTAAGGTTCGCCCCCGGATTAAGGTTCGCCCCCGGATTAAGGTTCGCCCCCGGATTAAGGTTCGCCCCCGGATTAAGGTTCGCCCCCGGATTAAGGTTCGCCCCCGGATTAAGGTTCGCCCCTGGATGAAGGTTCGCCCCCGGATGAAGGTTCGCCCCCGGATGAAGGTTCGCCCCCGGATGAAGGTTCGCCCCCGGATTAAGGTTCGCCCCCGGATTAAGGTTCGCCCCCGGATTAAGGTTCGCCCCCGGATTAAGGTTCGCCCCCGGATTAAGGTTCGCCCCCGGATTAAGGTTCGCCCCCGGATTAAGGTTCGCCCCCGGATTAAGGTTCGCCCCCGGATTAAGGTTCGCCCCCGGATTAAGGTTCGCCCCCGGATTAAGGTTCGCCCCCGGATTAAGGTTCGCCCCCGGATTAAGGTTCGCCCCCGGATTAAGGATCGCCCACGGATTAATGTTCGCCCCCGGATTAAGGTTCGCCCCCGGATTAAGGTTCGCCCCCGGATTAAGGTTCGCCCCCGGATTAAGGTTCGCCCCCGGATTAAGGTTCGCCCCCGGATTAAGGTTCGCCCCCGGATTAAGGTTCGCCCCCGGATTAAGGTTCGCCCCCGGATTAAGGTTCGCCCCCGGATTAAGGTTCGCCCCCGGATTAAGGTTCGCCCCCGGATTAAGGTTCGCCCCCGGATTAAGGTTCGCCCCCGGATTAAGGTTCGCCCCCGGATTAAGGTTCGCCCCCGGATTAAGGTTCGCCCCCGGATTAAGGTTCGCCCCCGGATTAAGGTTCGCCCCCGGATTAAGGTTCGCCCCCGGATTAAGGTTCGCCCCCGGATTAAGGTTCGCCCCCGGATTAAGGTTCGCCCCCGGATTAAGGTTCGCCCCCGGATTAAGGTTCGCCCCCGGATTAAGGTTCGCCCCCGGATTAAGGTTCGCCCCCGGATTAAGGTTCGCCCCCGGATTAAGGTTCGCCCCCGGATTAAGGTTCGCCCCCGGATTAAGGTTCGCCCCCGGATTAAGGTTCGCCCCCGGATTAAGGTTCGCCCCCGGATTAAGGTTCGCCCCCGGATTAAGGTTCGCCCCCGGATTAAGGTTCGCCCCCGGATTAAGGTTCGCCCCCGGATTAAGGTTCGCCCCCGGATTAAGGTTCGCCCCCGGATTAAGGTTCGCCCCCGGATTAAGGTTCGCCCCCGGATTAAGGTTCGCCCCCGGATTAAGGTTCGCCCCCGGATTAAGGTTCGCCCCCGGATTAAGGATCGCCCACGGATTAATGTTCGCCCCCGGATTAAGGTTCGCCCCCGGATTAAGGTTCGCCCCCGGATTAAGGTTCGCCCCCGGATTAAGGTTCGCCCCCGGATTAAGGTTCGCCCCCGGATTAAGGTTCGCCCCCGGATTAAGGTTCGCCCCCGGATTAAGGTTCGCCCCCGGATTAAGGTTCGCCCCCGGATTAAGGTTCGCCCCCGGATTAAGGTTCGCCCCCGGATTAAGGTTCGCCCCCGGATTAAGGTTCGCCCCCGGATTAAGGTTCGCCCCCGGATTAAGGTTCGCCCCCGGATTAAGGTTCGCCCCCGGATTAAGGTTCGCCCCGGGAATAAGGTTCGCCCCCGGATTAAGGTTCGCCCCCGGATTAAGGTTCGCCCCCGGATTAAGGTTCGCCCCCGGATTAAGGTTCGCCCCCGGATTAAGGTTCGCCCCCGGATTAAGGTTCGCCCTCAGATTAAGGTTCGCCCCCGGATTAAGGTTCGCCCCCGGATTAAGGTTCGCCCCCGAATTAATGTTCGCCCCCGGATTAAGGTTCGCCCCCGGATTAAGGTTCGCCCCCGGATTAAGGTTCGCCCCCGGATTAAGGTTCGCCCCCGGATTAAGGTTCGCCCCCAAATGAAGGTTCGCCCCGGATGAAGGTTCGCCCCCGGATGAAGGTTCGCCCCCGGATGAAGGATCGCCCCCGGATGAAGGTTCGCACCCGGATTAGGTTCGCCCCCGGATTAAGGTTCGCCCCCGGATTAAGGTTCGCCCCCGGATTAAGGTTCGCCCCCGGATTAAGGTTCGCCCCCGGATTAAGGTTCGCCCCCGGATTAAGGTTCGCCCCCGGATTAAGGTTCGCCCCCGGATTAAGGTTCGCCCCCGGATTAAGGTTCGCCCCGGGAATAAGGTTCGCCCCCGGATTAAGGTTCGCCCCCGGATTAAGGTTCGCCCCCGGATTAAGGTTCGCCCCCGGATTAAGGTTCGCCCCCGGATTAAGGTTCGCCCCCGGATTAAGGTTCGCCCCCGGATTAAGGTTCGCCCCCGGATTAAGGATCGCCCACGGATTAATGTTCGCCCCCGGATTAAGGTTCGCCCCCGGATTAAGGTTCGCCCCCGGATTAAGGTTCGCCCCCGGATTAAGGTTCGCCCCCGGATTAAGGTTCGCCCCCGGATTAAGGTTCGCCCCCGGATTAAGGTTCGCCCCCGGATTAAGGTTCGCCCCCGGATTAAGGTTCGCCCCCGGATTAAGGTTCGCCCCCGGATTAAGGTTCGCCCCCGGATTAAGGTTCGCCCACGAATTAAGGTTCGCCCCCGGATTAAGGTTCGCCCCCGGATTAAGGTTCGCCCCCGGATTAAGGTTCGCCCCCGGATTAAGGTTCGCCCCGGGAATAAGGTTCGCCCCCGGATTAAGGTTCGCCCCCGGATTAAGGTTCGCCCCCGGATTAAGGTTCGCCCCCGGATTAAGGTTCGCCCCCGGATTAAGGTTCGCCCCCGGATTAAGGTTCGCCCCCGGATTAAGGTTCGCCCCCGGATTAAGGTTCGCCCCCGAATTAATGTTCGCCCCCGGATTAAGGTTCGCCCCCGGATTAAGGTTCGCCCACGGATGAAGGTTCGCCCCCGGATGAAGGTTCGCCCCCGGATGAAGGTTCGCCCCCGGATGAAGGTTCGCCCCCGGATGAAGGTTCGCCCTCGGATTAAGGTTCGCCCCCGGATTAAGGTTCGCCCCCGGATTAAGGATCGCCCACGGATTAATGTTCGCCCCCGGATTAAGGTTCGCCCCCGGATTAAGGTTCGCCCCCGGATTAAGGTTCGCCCCCGGATTAAGGTTCGCCCCCGGATTAAGGTTCGCCCCCGGATTAAGGTTCGCCCCCGGATTAAGGTTCGCCCCCGGATTAAGGTTCGCCCCCGGATTAAGGTTCGCCCCCGGATTAAGGTTCGCCCCCGGATTAAGGTTCGCCCCCGGATTAAGGTTCGCCCCCGGATTAAGGTTCGCCCCCGGATTAAGGTTCGCCCCCGGATTAAGGTTCGCCCCCGGATTAAGGTTCGCCCCCGGATTAAGGTTCGCCCCGGGAATAAGGTTCGCCCCCGGATTAAGGTTCGCCCCCGGATTAAGGTTCGCCCCCGGATTAAGGTTCGCCCCCGGATTAAGGTTCGCCCCCGGATTAAGGTTCGCCCCCGGATTAAGGTTCGCCCCCGGATTAAGGTTCGCCCCCGGATTAAGGTTCGCCCCCGGATTAAGGTTCGCCCCCGAATTAATGTTCGCCCCCGGATTAAGGTTCGCCCCCGGATTAAGGTTCGCCCACGGATGAAGGTTCGCCCCCGGATGAAGGTTCGCCCCCGGATGAAGGTTCGCCCCCGAATGAAGGTTCGCCCCCGGATGAAGGTTCGCCCCCGGATGAAGGTTCGCCCCCGGATGAAGGATCGCCCCCGGATGAAGGTTCGCACCCGGATTAAGGTTCGCCCCCGGATTAAGGTTCGCCCCCGGATTAAGGTTCGCCCCCGGATTAAGGTTCGCCCCGGATGAAGGTTCGCCCACGGATTAAGGTTCGCCCCCGGATTAAGGTTCGCCCCCTGGTTAAGGTTCGCCCCCGGATAAAGGTTCGCCGCCGGATTAAGGTTCGCCCCGGGAATAAGGTTCGCCCCCGGATTAAGGTTCGCCCCCGGATTAAGGTTCGCCCCCGGATTAAGGTTCGCCCCCGGATGAGGTTCGCCCCCGGATGAAGGTTCGCCCCCGGATTAAGGTTCGCCCCCGGATTAAGGTTCGCCCCCGGATTAAGGTTCGCCCCCGGATTAAGGTTCGCCCCCGAATTAATGTTCGCCCCCGGATTAAGGTTCGCCCCCGGATTAAGGTTCGCCCCCGGATTAAGGTTCGCCCCCGGATTAAGGTTCGCCCCCGGATTAAGGTTCGCCCCCGGATTAAGGTTCGCCCCCGGATTAAGGTTCGCCCCCGGATTAAGGTTCGCCCCCGGATTAAGGTTCGCCCCCGGATTAAGGTTCGCCCCCGGATTAAGGTTCGCCCCCGGATTAAGGTTCGCCCCCGGATTAAGGTTCGCCCCCGGATTAAGGTTCGCCCCCGGATTAAGGTTCGCCCCCGGATTAAGGTTCGCCCCCGGATTAAGGTTCGCCCCCGGATTAAGGTTCGCCCCCGGATTAAGGATCGCCCACGGATTAATGTTCGCCCCCGGATTAAGGTTCTCCCCCGGATTATGGTTCGCCCCCAGATTAAGGTTCGCCCCCGGATTAAGGTTCGCCCCCGGATTAAGGTTCGCCCCCGGATTAAGGTTCGCCCCCGGATTAAGGTTCGCCCCCGGATTAAGGTTCGCCCCCGGATTAAGGTTCGCCCCCGGATTAAGGTTCGCCCCCGGATTAAGGTTCGCCCCCGGATTAAGGTTCGCCCCCGGATTAAGGTTCGCCCCCGGATTAAGGTTCGCCCCCGGATTAAGGTTCGCCCCCGGATTAAGGTTCGCCCCCGGATTAAGGTTCGCCCCCGAATTAATGTTCGCCCCCGGATTAAGGTTCGCCCCCGGATTAAGGTTCGCCCACGGATGAAGGTTCGCCCCCGGATGAAGGTTCGCCCCCGGATGAAGGTTCGCCCCAGAATGAAGGTTCGCCCCCGGATGAAGGTTCGCCCCCGGATGAAGGTTCGCCCCCGGATGAAGGATCGCCCCCGGATGAAGGTTCGCACCCGGATTAAGGTTCGCCCCCGGATTAAGGTTCGCCCCCGGATTAAGGTTCGCCCCCGGATTAAGGTTCGCCCCGGATGAAGGTTCGCCCACGGATTAAGGTTCGCCCCCGGATTAAGGTTCGCCCCCTGGTTAAGGTTCGCCCCCGGATTAAGGTTCGCCGCCGGACTAAGGTTCACCCCGGGAATAAGGTTCGCCCCCGGATTAAGGTTCGCCCCCGGATTAAGGTTCGCCCCCGGATTAAGGTTCGCCCCCGGATTAAGGTTCGCCCCCGGATTAAGGTTCGCCCCCGGATTAAGGATCGCCCACGGATTAATGTTCGCCCCCGGATTAAGGTTCGCCCCCGGATTAAGGTTCGCCCCCGGATTAAGGTTCGCCCCCGGATTAAGGTTCGCCCCCGGATTAAGGTTCGCCCCCGAATTAATGTTCGCCCCCGGATTAAGGTTCGCCCCCGGATTAAGGTTCGCCCCCGGATTAAGGTTCGCCCCCGGATTAAGGTTCGCCCCCGGATTAAGGTTCGCCCCCAAATGAAGGTTCGCCCCCGGATGAAGGTTCGCCCCCGGATGAAGGTTCGCCCCCGGATGAAGGATCGCCCCCGGATGAAGGTTCGCACCCGGATTAGGTTCGCCCCCGGATTAAGGTTCGCCCCCGGATTAAGGTTCGCCCCCGGATTAAGGTTCGCCCCCGGATTAAGGTTCGCCCCCGGATTAAGGTTCGCCCCCGGATTAAGGTTCGCCCCCGGATTAAGGTTCGCCCCCGGATTAAGGTTCGCCCCCGGATTAAGGTTCGCCCCGGGAATAAGGTTCGCCCCCGGATTAAGGTTCGCCCCCGGATTAAGGTTCGCCCCCGGATTAAGGTTCGCCCCCGGATTAAGGTTCGCCCCCGGATTAAGGTTCGCCCCCGGATTAAGGTTCGCCCCCGGATTAAGGTTCGCCCCCGGATTAAGGATCACCCACGGATTAATGTTCGCCCCCGGATTAAGGTTCGCCCCCGGATTAAGGTTCGCCCCCGGATTAAGGTTCGCCCCCGGATTAAGGTTCGCCCCCGGATTAAGGTTCGCCCCCGGATTAAGGTTCGCCCCCGGATTAAGGTTCGCCCCCGGATTAAGGTTCGCCCCCGGATTAAGGTTCGCCCCCGGATTAAGGTTCGCCCCCGGATTAAGGTTCGCCCCCGGATTAAGGTTCGCCCACGAATTAAGGTTCGCCCCCGGATTAAGGTTCGCCCCCGGATTAAGGTTCGCCCCCGGATTAAGGTTCGCCCCCGGATTAAGGTTCGCCCCGGGAATAAGGTTCGCCCCCGGATTAAGGTTCGCCCCCGGATTAAGGTTCGCCCCCGGATTAAGGTTCGCCCCCGGATTAAGGTTCGCCCCCGGATTAAGGTTCGCCCCCGGATTAAGGTTCGCCCCCGGATTAAGGTTCGCCCCCGGATTAAGGTTCGCCCCCGAATTAATGTTCGCCCCCGGATTAAGGTTCGCCCCCGGATTAAGGTTCGCCCACGGATGAAGGTTCGCCCCCGGATGAAGGTTCGCCCCCGGATGAAGGTTCGCCCCCGGATGAAGGTTCGCCCCCGGATGAAGGTTCGCCCACGGATTAAGGTTCGCCCCCGGATTAAGGTTCGCCCCCGGATTAAGGTTCGCCCCCGGATTAAGGTTCGCCCCCGGATTAAGGTTCGCCCCGGAATAAGGTTCGCCCCCGGATTAAGGTTCGCCCCCGGATTAAGGTTCGCCCCCGGATTAAGGTTCGCCCCCGGATTAAGGTTCGCCCCCGGATTAAGGTTCGCCCCCGGATTAAGGTTCGCCCCCGGATTAAGGTTCGCCCCCGGATTAAGGTTCGCCCCCGGATTAAGGTTCGCCCCCGAATTAATGTTCGCCCCCGGATTAAGGTTCGCCCCCGGATTAAGGTTCGCCCACGGATGAAGGTTCGCCCCCGGATGAAGGTTCGCCCCCGGATGAAGGTTCGCCCCCGAATGAAGGTTCGCCCCCGGATGAAGGTTCGCCCCCGGATGAAGGTTCGCCCCCGGATGAAGGATCGCCCCCGGATGAAGGTTCGCACCCGGATTAAGGTTCGCCCCCGGATTAAGGTTCGCCCCCGGATTAAGGTTCGCCCCCGGATTAAGGTTCGCCCCCGGATTAAGGTTCGCCCCCTGGTTAAGGTTCGCCCCCGGATTAAGGTTCGCCCCCGGATTAAGGTTCGCCCCGGGAATAAGGTTCGCCCCCGGATTAAGGTTCGCCCCCGGATTAAGGTTCGCCCCCGGATTAAGGTTCGCCCCCGGATGAGGTTCGCCCCCGGATGAAGGTTCGCCCCCGGATTAAGGTTCGCCCCCGGATTAAGGTTCGCCCCCGGATTAAGGTTCGCCCCCGGATTAAGGTTCGCCCCCGAATTAATGTTCGCCCCCGGATTAAGGTTCGCCCCCGGATTAAGGTTCGCCCCCGGATTAAGGTTCGCCCCCGGATTAAGGTTCGCCCCCGGATTAAGGTTCGCCCCCGGATTAAGGTTCGCCCCCGGATTAAGGTTCGCCCCCGGATTAAGGTTCGCCCCCGGATTAAGGTTCGCCCCCGGATTAAGGTTCGCCCCCGGATTAAGGTTCGCCCCCGGATTAAGGTTCGCCCCCGGATTAAGGTTCGCCCCCGGATTAAGGTTCGCCCCCGGATTAAGGTTCGCCCCCGGATTAAGGTTCGCCCCCGGATTAAGGTTCGCCCCCGGATTAAGGTTCGCCCCCGGATTAAGGATCGCCCACGGATTAATGTTCGCCCCCGGATTAAGGTTCGCCCCCGGATTAAGGTTCGCCCCCGGATTAAGGTTCGCCCCCGGATTAAGGTTCGCCCCCGGATTAAGGTTCGCCCCCGGATTAAGGTTCGCCCCCGGATTAAGGTTCGCCCCCGGATTAAGGTTCGCCCCCGGATTAAGGTTCGCCCCCGGATTAAGGTTCGCCCCCGGATTAAGGTTCGCCCCCGGATTAAGGTTCGCCCCCGGATTAAGGTTCGCCCCCGGATTAAGGTTCGCCCCCGGATTAAGGTTCGCCCCCGGATTAAGGTTCGCCCCCGGATTAAGGTTCGCCCCGGGAATAAGGTTCGCCCCCGGATTAAGGTTCGCCCCCGGATTAAGGTTCGCCCCCGGATTAAGGTTCGCCCCCGGATTAAGGTTCGCCCCCGGATTAAGGTTCGCCCCCGGATTAAGGTTCGCCCCCGGATTAAGGTTCGCCCCCGGATTAAGGTTCGCCCCCGGATTAAGGTTCGCCCCCGAATTAATGTTCGCCCCCGGATTAAGGTTCGCCCCCGGATTAAGGTTCGCCCACGGATGAAGGTTCGCCCCCGGATGAAGGTTCGCCCCCGGATGAAGGTTCGCCCCAGAATGAAGGTTCGCCCCCGGATGAAGGTTCGCCCCCGGATGAAGGTTCGCCCCCGGATGAAGGATCGCCCCCGGATGAAGGTTCGCACCCGGATTAAGGTTCGCCCCCGGATTAAGGTTCGCCCCCGGATTAAGGTTCGCCCCCGGATTAAGGTTCGCCCCGGATGAAGGTTCGCCCACGGATTAAGGTTCGCCCCCGGATTAAGGTTCGCCCCCTGGTTAAGGTTCGCCCCCGGATTAAGGTTCGCCCCCGGATTAAGGTTCGCCCCCGGATTAAGGTTCGCCCCCGGATTAAGGTTCGCCCCCGGATTAAGGTTCGCCCCCGGATTAAGGTTCGCCCCCGGATTAAGGTTCGCCCCCGGATTAAGGTTCGCCCCCGGATTAAGGTTCGCCCCCGGATTAAGGTTCGCCCCCGGATTAAGGTTCGCCCCCGGATTAAGGTTCGCCCCCGAATTAATGTTCGCCCCCGGATTAAGGTTCGCCCCCGGATTAAGGTTCGCCCCCGGATTAAGGTTCGCCCCCGGATTAAGGTTCGCCCCCGGATTAAGGTTCGCCCCCGGATTAAGGTTCGCCCCCGGATTAAGGTTCGCCCCCGGATTAAGGTTCGCCCCCGGATTAAGGTTCGCCCCCGGATTAAGGTTCGCCCCCGGATTAAGGTTCGCCCCCGGATTAAGGTTCGCCCCCGGATTAAGGTTCGCCCCCGGATTAAGGTTCGCCCCCGGATTAAGGTTCGCCCCCGGATTAAGGTTCGCCCCCGGATTAAGGTTCGCCCCCGGAAGAAGGTTCGCCCCCTGATTAAGGTTCGCCCCCGGATTAAGGTTCGCCCCCGGATTAAGGTTCGCCCCCGGATTAAGGTTCGCCCCCGGATTAAGGTTCGCCCCCGGATTAAGGTTCGCCCCCGGATGAACGTTCGCCCCCGGATGAAGGTTCGCCCCCGGATGAAGGTTCGCCCCCGGATTAAGGTTCGCCCCCGGATTAAGGTTCGCCCCCGGATTAAGGTTCGCCCCCGGATTAAGGTTCGCCCCCGGATTAAGGTTCGCCCCCGGATTAAGGTTCGCCCCCGGATTAAGGTTCGCCCCCGGATTAAGGTTCGCCCCCGGATTAAGGTTCGCCCCCGGATTAAGGTTCGCCCCCGGATTAAGGTTCGCCCCCGGATTAAGGTTCGCCCCCGGATTAAGGTTCGCCCCCGGATTAAGGTTCGCCCCCGGATTAAGGTTCGCCCCCGGATTAAGGTTCGCCCCCGGATTAAGGTTCGCCCCCGGATTAAGGTTCGCCCCCGGATTAAGGTTCGCCCCCGGATTAAGGTTCGCCCCCGGATTAAGGTTCGCCCCCGGATTAAGGTTCGCCCCCGGATTAAGGTTCGCCCCCGGATTAAGGTTCACCCCGGGATTAAGGTTCACCCCCGGATGGAGGTTCACCCCCGGATGGAGGTTCCCCCCCGGATAAAGGTTCGCCCCCGGATGAAGGTTCGCCCCCGGATTAAGGTTCGCCCCCGGATTAAGGTTCGCCCCCGGATTAAGGTTCGCCCCCGGATTAAGGTTCGCCCCCGGATTAAGGTTCGCCCCCGGATTAAGGTTCGCCCCCGGATTAAGGTTCGCCCCCGGATTAAGGTTCGCCCCCGGATTAAGGTTCGCCCCCGGATTAAGGTTCGCCCCCGGATTAAGGTTCGCCCCCGGATTAAGGTTCGCCCCCGGAAGAAGGTTCGCCCCCTGATTAAGGTTCGCCCCCGGATTAAGGTTCGCCCCCGGATTAAGGTTCGCCCCCGGATTAAGGTTCGCCCCCGGATTAAGGTTCGCCCCCGGATTAAGGTTCGCCCCCGGATGAACGTTCGCCCCCGGATGAAGGTTCGCCCCCGGATGAAGGTTCGCCCCCGGATTAAGGTTCGCCCCCGGATTAAGGTTCGCCCCCGGATTAAGGTTCGCCCCCGGATTAAGGTTCGCCCCCGGATTAAGGTTCGCCCCCGGATTAAGGTTCGCCCCCGGATTAAGGTTCGCCCCCGGATTAAGGTTCGCCCCCGGATTAAGGTTCGCCCCCGGATTAAGGTTCGCCCCCGGATTAAGGTTCGCCCCCGGATTAAGGTTCGCCCCCGGATTAAGGTTCGCCCCCGGATTAAGGTTCGCCCCCGGATTAAGGTTCGCCCCCGGATTAAGGTTCGCCCCCGGATTAAGGTTCGCCCCCGGATTAAGGTTCGCCCCCGGATTAAGGTTCGCCCCCGGATTAAGGTTCGCCCCCGGATTAAGGTTCGCCCCCGGATTAAGGTTCACCCCCGTATTAAGGTTCACCCCGGGATTAAGGTTCACCCCCGGATGGAGGTTCACCCCCGGATGGAGGTTCCCCCCCGGATAAAGGTTCGCCCCCGGATGAAGGTTCGCCCCCGGATTAAGGTTCGCCCCCGGATTAAGGTTCGCCCCCGGATTAAGGTTCGCCCCCGGATTAAGGTTCGCCCCCGGATTAAGGTTCGCCCCCGGATTAAGGTTCGCCCCCGGATTAAGGTTCGCCCCCGGATGAAGGTTTGCCCCCGGATGAAGGTTCGCCCCCGGATGAAGGTTCGCCCCCGGATGAAGGTTCGCCCCCGGATGAAGGTTCGCCCCCGGATGAAGGTTCGCCCCCGGATGAAGGTTCGCCCCCGGATTAAGGTTCGCCCCCGGATTAAGGTTCGCCCCCGGATTAAGGTTCGCCCCCGGATTAAGGTTCGCCCCCGGATTAAGGTTCGCCCCCGGATTAAGGTTCGCCCCCGGATTAAGGTTCGCCCCCGGATTAAGGTTCGCCCCCGGATTAAGGTTCGCCACCGAATGAAGGTTCGCCCCCGGACGAAGGTTCGCCCCCGGACGAAGGTTCGCCCCCGGACGAAGGTTCGCCCCCGGACGAAGGTTCGCCCCCGGACGAAGGTTCGCCCTCGGACGAAGGTTCGCCCCCGGATGAAGGTTCGCCCCCGGATGAAGGTTCGCCCCCGGATGAAGGTTCGCCCCCGGATGAAGGTTCGCCCCCGGATGAAGGTTCGCCCCCGGATGAAGGTTCGCCCCCGGATGAAGGTTCGCCCCCGGATGAAGGTTCGCCCCCGGATGAAGGTTCGCCCCCGGATGAAGGTTCGCCCCCGGATGAAGGTTCGCCCCCAGATGAAGGTTCGCCCCCGGATTAAGGTTCGCCCCCGGATTAAGGTTCGCCCCCGGATTAAGGTTCGCCCCCGGATTAAGGTTCGCCCCCGGATTAAGGTTCGCCCCCGGATTAAGGTTCGCCCCCGGATTAAGGTTCGCCCCCGGATTAAGGTTCGCCCCCAGATGAAGGTTCGCCCCCGGATTAAGGTTCGCCCCCGGATTAAGGTTCGCCCCCGGATTAAGGTTCGCCCTCGGATGAAGGTTCGCCCCCGGATGAAGGTTCGCCCCCGGATTAAGGTTCGCCCCCGGATTAAGGTTCGCCACGGAGTAAGGTTCGCCCCCGGATTAAGGTTCACCCTCGGATTAAGGTTCACCTCCGGAGGATCACCTCCGGATTAAGGTTCGCCCCCGGATTAAGGTTCGCCCCCGGATTAAGGTTCGCCCCCGGATTAAGGTTCGCCCCCGGATGGAGGTTCGGCCCCGGATGAAGGTTCGCCCCCGGATGAAGGTTCGCCCCCGGATGAAGGTTCGCCCCCGGATGAAGGTTCGCCCCCGGATGAAGGTTCATCCCCGGATGAAGGTTCGCCCCCGGATTAAGGTTCGCCCCCGGATTAAGGTTCGCCCCCGGATTAAGGTTCGCCCTCGGATGAAGGTTCGCCCCCGGATGAAGGTTCGCCCCCGGATTAAGGTTCGCCCCCGGATTAAGGTTCGCCCACGGAGTAAGGTTCGCCCCCGGAGTAAGGTTCACCCTCGGATGAAGGTTCGCCCCCGGATTAAGGTTCGCCCCCGGAGGATCACCTCCGGATTAAGGTTCGCCCCCGGATTAAGGTTCACCTCCGGAGGATCACCTCCGGATTAAGGTTCGCCCCCGGATTAAGGTTCGCCCCCGGATTAAGGTTCGCCCCCGGATTAAGGTTCGCCCCCGGATTAAGGTTCGCCCCCGGATTAAGGTTCGCCCCCGGATTAAGGTTCGCCCCCGGATTAAGGTTCGCCCCCGGATTAAGGTTCGCCCCCGGATTAAGGTTCGCCCCCGGATTAAGGTTCGCCCCCGGATTAAGGTTCGCCCCCGGATTAAGGTTCGCCCCCGGATTAAGGTTCGCCCCCGGATTAAGGTTCGCCCCCGGATTAAGGTTCGCCCCCGGATTAAGGTTCGCCCCCGGATTAAGGTTCGCCCCCGGATTAAGGTTCGCCCCCGGATTAAGGTTCGCCCCCGGATTAAGGTTCGCCCCCAGATGAAGGTTCGCCCCCGGATGAAGGTTCGCCCCCGGATGAAGGTTCGCCCCCGGATTAAGGTTCGCCCCCGGATTAAGGTTCGCCCCCGGATTAAGGTTCGCCCCCGGATTAAGGTTCGCCCCCGGATTAAGGTTCGCCCCCGGATTAAGGTTCGCCCCCGGATTAAGGTTCGCCCCCGGATTAAGGTTCGCCCCCAGATGAAGGTTCGCCCCCGGATTAAGGTTCGCCCCCGGATTAAGGTTCGCCCCCGGATTAAGGTTCGCCCTCGGATGAAGGTTCGCCCCCGGATGAAGGTTCGCCCCCGGATTAAGGTTCGCCCCCGGATTAAGGTTCGCCACGGAGTAAGGTTCGCCCCCGGATTAAGGTTCACCCTCGGATTAAGGTTCACCTCCGGAGGATCACCTCCGGATTAAGGTTCGCCCCCGGATTAAGGTTCGCCCCCGGATTAAGGTTCGCCCCCGGATTAAGGTTCGCCCCCGGATGGAGGTTCGGCCCTGGATGAAGGTTCGCCCCCGGATGAAGGTTCGCCCCTGGATGAAGGTTCGCCCCCGGATGAAGGTTCGCCCCCGGATGAAGGTTCATCCCCGGATTAAGGTTCGCCCCCGGATTAAGGTTCGCCCCCGGATTAAGGTTCGCCCCCGGATTAAGGTTCGCCCCCGGATTAAGGTTCGCCCCCGGATTAAGGTTCGCCCCCGGATTAAGGTTCGCCCCCGGATTAAGGTTCGCCCCCGGATTAAGGTTCGCCCCCGGATTAAGGTTCGCCCCCGGATTAAGGTTCGCCCCCGAATGAAGGTTCGCCCCCGGATTAAGGTTCGCCCCCGGATTAAGGTTCGCCCCCGGATTAAGGTTCGCCCCCGGATTAAGGTTCGCCCCCGAATGAAGGTTCGCCCCCGGATTAAGGTTCGCCCCCGGATTAAGGTTCGCCCCCGGATTAAGGTTCGCCCCCGGATTAAGGTTCGCCCCCGGATTAAGGTTCGCCCCCGGATTAAGGTTCGCCCCCGGATTAAGGTTCGCCCCCGGATTAAGGTTCGCCCCCGGATTAAGGTTCGCCCCCGGATTAAGGTTCGCCCCCGGATTAAGGTTCGCCCCCGGATTAAGGTTCGCCCCCGGATTAAGGTTCGCCCCCGGATTAAGGTTCGCCCCCGGATTAAGGTTCGCCCCCGGATTAAGGTTCGCCCCCGGATTAAGGTTCGCCCCCGGATTAAGGATCGCCCACGGATTAATGTTCGCCCCCGGATTAAGGTTCGCCCCCGGATTAAGGTTCGCCCCCGGATTAAGGTTCGCCCCCGGATTAAGGTTCGCCCCCGGATTAAGGTTCGCCCCCGGATTAAGGTTCGCCCCCGGATTAAGGTTCGCCCCCGGATTAAGGTTCGCCCCCGGATTAAGGTTCGCCCCCGGATTAAGGTTCGCCCCCGGATTAAGGTTCGCCCCCGGATTAAGGTTCGCCCCCGGATTAAGGTTCGCCCCCGGATTAAGGTTCGCCCCCGGATTAAGGACCGCCCCCGGATTAAGGTTCGCCGCCGGATTAAGGTTCGCCCCGGGAATAAGGTTCGCCCCCGGATTAAGGTTCGCCCCCGGATTAAGGTTCGCCCCCGGATTAAGGTTCGCCCCCGGATTAAGGTTCGCCCCCGGATTAAGGTTCGCCCCCGGATTAAGGTTCGCCCCCGGATTAAGGTTCGCCCCCGGATTAAGGTTCGCCCCCGAATTAATGTTCGCCCCCGGATTAAGGTTCGCCCCCGGATTAAGGTTCGCCCACGGATGAAGGTTCGCCCCCGGATGAAGGTTCGCCCCCGGATGAAGGTTCGCCCCCGGATGAAGGTTCGCCCCCGGATGAAGGTTCGCCCCCGAATGAAGGTACGCCCCCGGATGAAGGATTGCCCCCGGATGAAGGTTCGCACCCGGATTAAGGTTCGCCCCCGGATTAAGGTTCGCCCCCGGATTAAGGTTCGCCCCCGGATTAAGGTTCGCCCCCGGATTAAGGTTCGCCCCCGGATTAAGGTTCGCCCCCGGATTAAGGTTCGCCCCCGGATTAAGGTTCGCCCCCGGATTAAGGTTCGCCCCCGGATTAAGGTTCGCCCCCGGATTAAGGTTCGCCCCCGGATTAAGGTTCGCCCCCGGATTAAGGTTCGCCCCCGGATTAAGGTTCGCCCCCGGATTAAGGTTCGCCCCCGGATTAAGGTTCGCCCCCGGATTAAGGTTCGCCCCCGGATTAAGGTTCGCCCCCGGATTAAGGTTCGCCCCCGGATTAAGGTTCGCCCCCGGATTAAGGTTCGCCCCCGGATTAAGGTTCGCCCCCGGATTAAGGTTCGCCCCCGGATTAAGGTTCGCCCCCGGATTAAGGTTCGCCCCCGGATTAAGGTTCGCCCCCGGATTAAGGTTCGCCCCCGGATTAAGGTTCGCCCCCGGATTAAGGTTCGCCCCCGGATTAAGGTTCGCCCCCGGATTAAGGTTCGCCCCCGGATTAAGGTTCGCCCCCGGATTAAGGTTCGCCCCCGGATTAAGGTTCGCCCCCGGATTAAGGTTCGCCCCCGGATTAAGGTTCGCCCCCGGATTAAGGTTCGCCCCCGGATTAAGGTTCGCCCCCGGATTAAGGTTCGCCCCCGGATTAAGGTTCGCCCCCGGATTAAGGTTCGCCCCCGGATTAAGGTTCGCCCCCGGATTAAGGTTCGCCCCCGGATTAAGGTTCGCCCCCGGATTAAGGTTCGCCCCCGGATTAAGGTTCGCCCCCGGATTAAGGTTCGCCCCCGGATTAAGGTTCACCCCGGGATTAAGGTTCACCCCCGGATGGAGGTTCAACCCCGGATGGAGGTTCCCCCCCGGATAAAGGTTCGCCCCCGGATGAAGGTTCGCCCCCGGATTAAAGTTCGCCCTCGGATTAAGGTTCGCCCCCGGATTAAGGTTCGCCCCCGGATTAAGGTTCGCCCCCGGATTAAGGTTCCCCCCCCGGTTTAAGGTCGCCCCCCGGATTAAGGTTCGCCCCCGGATTAAGGTTCGCCCCCGGATTAAGGTTCGCCCCCGGATTAAGGTTCGCCCCCGGATTAAGGTTCGCCCCCGGATTAAGGTTCGCCCCCGGATTAAGGTTCGCCCCCGGATTAAGGTTCGCCCCCGGATTAAGGTTCGCCCCCGGATTAAGGTTCGCCCCCGGATTAAGGTTCGCCCCCGGATTAAGGTTCGCCCCCGGATTAAGGTTCGCCCCCGGATTAAGGTTCGCCCCCGGATTAAGGTTCGCCCCCGGATTAAGGTTCGCCCCCGGATTAAGGTTCGCCCCCGGATTAAGGTTCGCCCCCGGATTAAGGTTCGCCCCCGGATTAAGGTTCGCCCCCGGATTAAGGTTCGCCACCGAATGAAGGTTCGCCCCCGGATGAAGGTTCGCCCCCGGACGAAGGTTCGCCCCCGGACAAAGGTTCGCCCCCGGACGAAGGTTCGCCCCCGGACGAAGGTTCGCCCTCGGACGAAGGTTCGCCCCCGGATGAAGGTTCGCCCCCGGATGAAGGTTCGCCCCCGGATGAAGGTTCGCCCCCGGATGAAGGTTCGCCCCGGGATGAAGGTTCGCCCCCGGATGAAGGTTCGCCCCCGGATGAAGGTTCGCCCCCGGATGAAGGTTCGCCCCCGGATGAAGGTTCGCCCCCGGATGAAGGTTCGCCCCCGGATGAAGGTTCGCCCCCAGATGAAGGTTCGCCCCCGGATTAAGGTTCGCCCCCGGATTAAGGTTCGCCCCCGGATTAAGGTTCGCCCCCGGATTAAGGTTCGCCCTCGGATGAAGGTTCGCCCCCGGATGAAGGTTCGCCCCCGGATTAAGGTTCGCCCCCGGATTAAGGTTCGCCCACGGAGTAAGGTTCGCCCCCGGAGTAAGGTTCACCCTCGGATTAAGGTTCACCTCCGGAGGATCACCTCCGGATTAAGGTTCGCCCCCGGATTAAGGTTCGCCCCCGGATTAAGGTTCGCCCCCGGATTAAGGTTCGCCCCCGGATTAAGGTTCGCCCCCGGATTAAGGTTCGCCCCCGGATTAAGGTTCGCCCCCGGATTAAGGTTCGCCCCCGGATTAAGGTTCGCCCCCGGATTAAGGTTCGCCCACGGAGTAAGGTTCGCCCCCGGATTAAGGTTCACCCTCGGATTAAGGTTCACCCCCGGAGGATCACCTCCCGATTAAGGTTCGCCCCCGGATGAAGGTTCGCCCCGGATGAAGGTTCGCCCCCGGATGAAGGTTCGCCCCCGGATGAAGGTTCGCCCCCGGATGAAGGTTCGCCCCCGGATGAAGGTTCGCCCCCGGATGAAGGTTCGCCCCCGGATGAAGGTTCGCCCCCGGATGAAGGTTCGCCCCCGGATGAAGGTTCGCCCCCGGATGAAGGTTCGCCCCCAGATGAAGGTTCGCCCCCGGATTAAGGTTCGCCCCCGGATTAAGGTTCGCCCCCGGATTAAGGTTCGCCCCCGGATTAAGGTTCGCCCTCGGATGAAGGTTCGCCCCCGGATGAAGGTTCGCCCCCGGATTAAGGTTCACCCCCGAATTAAGGTTCGCCCACGGAGTAAGGTTCGCCCCCGGAGTAAGGTTCACCCTCGGATTAAGGTTCACCTCCGGAGGATCACCTCCGGATTAAGGTTCGCCCCCGGATTAAGGTTCGCCCCCGGATTAAGGTTCGCCCCCGGATTAAGGTTCGCCCCCGGATTAAGGTTCGCCCCCGGATTAAGGTTCGCCCCCGGATTAAGGTTCGCCCCCGGATTAAGGTTCGCCCCCGGATTAAGGTTCGCCCCCGGATTAAGGTTCGCCCACGGAGTAAGGTTCGCCCCCGGATTAAGGTTCACCCTCGGATTAAGGTTCACCCCCGGAGGATCACCTCCCGATTAAGGTTCGCCCCCGGATGAAGGTTCGCCCCGGATGAAGGTTCGCCCCCGGATGAAGGTTCGCCCCCGGATGAAGGTTCGCCCCCGGATGAAGGTTCGCCCCCTGATGAAGGTTCGCCCCCGGATGAAGGTTCGCCCCCGGATGAAGGTTCGCCCCCCGATGAAGGTTCGCCCCCGGATGAAGGTTCGCCCCCGGATGAAGGTTTGCCCCCGGATGAAGGTTCGCCCCCGGATGAAGGTTCGCCCCCGGATTAAGGTTCGCCCCCGGATTAAGGTTCGCCCCCGGATTAAGGTTCGCCCCCGGATTAAGGTTCGCCCCCGGATTAAGGTTCGCCCCCGGATTAAGGTTCGCCCCCGGATTAAGGTTCGCCCCCGGATTAAGGTTCGCCCCCGGATTAAGGTTCGCCCCCGGATTAAGGTTCGCCCCCAGATGAAGGTTCGCCCCCGGATTAAGGTTCGCCCCCGGATTAAGGTTCGCCCCCGGATTAAGGTTCGCCCTCGGATGAAGGTTCGCCCCCGGATGAAGGTTCGCCCCCGGATTAAGGTTCGCCCCCGGATTAAGGTTCGCCACGGAGTAAGGTTCGCCCCCGGATTAAGGTTCACCCTCGGATTAAGGTTCACCTCCGGAGGATCACCTCCGGATTAAGGTTCGCCCCCGGATTAAGGTTCGCCCCCGGATTAAGGTTCGCCCCCGGATTAAGGTTCGCCCCCGGATGGAGGTTCGGCCCCGGATGAAGGTTCGCCCCCGGATGAAGGTTCGCCCCCGGATGAAGGTTCGCCCCCGGATGAAGGTTCGCCCCCGGATGAAGGTTCATCCCCGGATTAAGGTTCGCCCCCGGATTAAGGTTCGCCCCCGGATTAAGGTTCGCCCCCGGATTAAGGTTCGCCCCCGGATTAAGGTTCGCCCCCGGATTAAGGTTCGCCCCCGGATTAAGGTTCGCCCCCGGATTAAGGTTCGCCCCCGGATTAAGGTTCGCCCCCGGGTGAAGGTTCGCCCCCGGATGAAGGTTCGCCCCCGAATGAAGGTTCGCCCCCGGATTAAGGTTCGCCCCCGGATTAAGGTTCGCCCCCGGATTAAGGTTCGCCCCCGGATTAAGGTTCGCCCCCGGATTAAGGTTCGCCCCCGGATTAAGGTTCGCCCCCGGATTAAGGTTCGCCCCCGGATTAAGGTTCGCCCCCGGATTAAGGTTCGCCCCCGGATTAAGGTTCGCCCCCGGATTAAGGTTCGCCCCCGGATTAAGGTTCGCCCTCGGATGAAGGTTCGCCCCCGGATGAAGGTTCGCCCCCGGATGAAGGTTCGCCCCCGGATGAAGGTTCGCCCCCGGATGAAGGTTCGCCCCCGGATGAAGGTTCGCCCCCGGATTAAGGTTCGCCCCCGGATTAAGGTTCGCCCCCGGATTAAGGTTCGCCCCCGGATTAAGGTTCGCCCCCGGATTAAGGTTCGCCCCCGGATTAAGGTTCGCCCCCGGAGGATCACCTCCGGATTAAGGTTCACCCCCGGATTAAGGTTCACCCCCGGATTAAGGTTCACCCCTGGATTAAGGCGGCTGTGGTACACACGCAGCACGTGGAATGCATATAATCAAAAAGCAGAATTTCGAAGTGGCACAAGCAGATGTGTGCGGTGGAATGCGGCGCGGTGAGAGCCTCACAAGTTACGAAGAAGAGGCAAGTTGCCAAGAGAAGGCGTGATTGGCCCCGAAAGGAGGTTGCTGTCCAGAGATCTGCAAGCAGGCAGATATTGGGCCGATTTTTTAGTCGACTCAAAATTCGACTCATCACACGCGGAAAGGAGGTTGCTGTCCAGAGATCTGCAAGCAGGCAGATATTAGGCAGTAAGCATCGAAGCAAACTATCAAACAAGGAATCAAGCAATCAAGCAATCAAGCATACGGGCAGACAGATAAAGAACAGTCAGCATGCAGAAGGATTAAGAGTAATGTGACAAAAGCGAGAGTGGGTCAGGTGAAGGGGCATTACAAGAGAGTGAGTGTGGTGGCCTGCCCAATCTCTTGTGGTATGGATCCTGAGAGTTGGTGCAAGTGAAGGGCTTTTGAGTCGTCTCAAAAGCGTAAGAAGGAGACATACAAGAGAGTGAGTGTGGTGGCCTGCCCTATCTCTTGCGGTATTGATCCTGAAAGTTGGTTGCTCTGGAGGTCACTGGAGGTAGGGGAGCAGCAGCATGGGGCGCAGGGGCACATTGTTTTTGAGACCTCCGCAGCCCACCTGTTTACCACTGACAGCATGGGGCGCAGGGGCGCATTGGATGATAAGACACTTGGTGACTTTTGAGTCAACTCAAAAGTCACCTGGAGGTAGAGGAGCAGCAGCATGGGGCGCAGGGGCGCATTGGATGATAAGTAACTTGGGTTTGGCTGCTGGCCTGCCCGATTTCTTGCGGTATGGAGTCCGCCAGTTGGTTCGACTGGAGGGAGGTCACTGAAGATAGACGACCAACCTATATTCATGGGAAGCAGGAATGTGTTGGAGCGCCTGCAGGCCCCTCCCCTCATTGACCCAATAGATGCAGGGATGTAGCGGGAGAGGGCAAGACTCATGGAGAGGTGACTTTTGAGACGACTCAAAAGTCACAGCGCCTGCAGACCCCTCATTGACCCAATAGATGCTTTTTGAGGCGCCTCAAAAACAGACCCCTCATTGACCCAATAGATGCTGGGATGTTGCAGGAGAGGGCAAGACTCATGGAGACTCGTAGGCACTCAAAGCAATAGCCTCGTAGGGGAGGGTTGTAAGCGGGCGCCTGCTCACTCACAGCGCCGAGAGGCTCACTCCCAGCGCCCAGAGGCTCCTCATTGACCCAATGGTTGCTGAGATGCTGCCCGTGAGGGAGGCGAGGGCACGGCACGACACATAGAGACTCGTAGGCACTCATAAGCACTCATAGGCATATCCTCATAGGAGAGTGGAGTAAGGGGGTGCCTGCTACTCACTCACAGCGCCTGCAGGCTCCTCATTGATCCGATGGATGCTGGGATGGTGCCGGTGAGGGAGCTGAAGGCAAGACTCACAGGACGACAGAGACTCCTAGCGAGAGTGTCATGAGGGAAAGGAGTAAAGGGACGCCTGCTCACTCACAGCGCCTGCAGGCTCCTCATTGATCCGATGGATGCTGGGATGGTGCCGGTGAGGGAGCTGAAGGCAAGACTCACAGGACGACAGAGACTCCTAGCGAGAGTGTCATGAGGGAAAGGAGTAAAGGGACGCCTGCTCACTCACAGCGCCTGCAGGCTCCTCATTGATCCGATGGATGCTGGGATGGTGCCGGTGAGGGAGTTGAATGCGAGGCTCCTGAAGTTGCGACACAGGCAGGGCGATATGTTAAAAACATGCAACAAGGGGTCCTTCTGAACAAGCAGGTCCTTCTGTTAATAACATGCATGGATGCATGGCAGGAGGAGAATGGTATCCCATATGCACTACGAGACCGATTAGCAAAACATAGTTACACGCATGGCTGATGGTGAGATGAATAGAGCCAAGAATCCTTAGACAGTTGACAAAGATGTGATGATACTGTGACGCCTATAGTTCTCACTCACACCAGCCGTCCCATCCCCACCACCATGCCCATCCCATCGCTCACAGGCGTGTGGCGGGGCGGCGTTGCAGCCGTGGATGCTCTGGGGGATGCTACCTATCACTCTGTTCCGACTCTCAAGACCCAGTTGTTGCGACAAGATCAAAGCCCATCCCTCTCAGTCCACCCCTCCCATCCCCACATCCCCGCCCATCCCATCGCTCACAGGCGTGTGGCGGCGTTGCATCCGTGGATGCTCTGGGGGATGCTACCTATCAGCCTGTTCCGACTCAGGTCCCTGTAGTAGCAAGGCGGATGGCATGCATGCATGGTAGTACATACATGAATACATGCATGGCACGGGCACGTGATGAAATTGCATGGCATATGAATTGAGCGCATGGCACGACACACGAATGCTGGATAAGATGCTGTCAACGCCATGCATATGAAATCGAAATCCTTCACCAAACTGCTACCTGCGAGTCGCTTCTGAGACTCTTTTGAGATTTCTAAAAAACGACTCGAATCAGATGCTGTTGATGATGTCATGTTTGCTTCATGAAGCATGAAGCATGCATGGCATGCGCATCAAACATGCTTCATGCTTCATGAATACATGCATGGCATGCGCATCAAACATGCTTCATGCTTCATGAATACATGCATGGCATGCGCATCAAACATGCTTCATGCTTCATGAATACATGCATGGCATGCGCATCAAACATGCTTCATGCTTCATGAATACATGCATGGCATGCGCATCAAACATGCTTCATGCTTCATGAATACATGCATGGCATGCGCATCAAACATGCTTCATGCTTCATGAATACATGCATGGCATGCGCATCAAACATGCTTCATGCAAACGCATGCGCATGATCTGAAGGATGTGTCACACTCCTCTCTCACATTGTTCGCAACACCTGAAGGCCGCCTATGCTCTCAGGTAGAGGTTTCTCCAGGTGGTTGTCGCTCAGGTGCCTGCAACAGAGGCCCGATGCAGCAGCAGGAGAGATGGAATGGGGAGAGAGTCAGTCAATACTGATGGAAATCAGAAATAGATGGCAAATAGCTGCTAAATTCCACAGAACGCTGGTAAAAAGATACACCAGACGACTTTTGAGGCGCCTCAAGAGACTTTTGAGGCGCCTTAAAAGACGACTTTTGAGGCGCCTCAAAAGAAATCAGAAATAGATGGCAAATAGCTGCTGAATTCCACAGAATGCTGGTAAAAAGATCCACCAGACGTCAGAAGATTCGCATGCAAGTGAGGCAGTAACAGCTGATTGCACTGGACTACACTGCACTGCACCGCACCGCACTGCACTAAACTGCACCGCACTGCACTCCTTACAGCTCGACGAGGTTGAGGTAGGAGAGACCGAGCCATGAGGGGACTTTGCCTGTGAGGTTGTTAAACGCCAGAGACCTGCAAAGAGATTCGCGAGAGGGGGTGTGGGAAAATATCATTCTGAAAACGTCCCGAGAAAAATCTCCCATCATGTGGCATGCCATTGTATTCGGAGCAGGCAATGCTGTGACTATGGAGAGAGGTGGGGAGCAGCGAACAGAGGGATAATGGCTGGGCTGGTTGGCTGGTGTGCATGACAAGTTGGGTGTGGCATAAAAATAAGACGTACAGATACGTTAGGGAGGTTAGTGATGCCATTTCCGGGGGTATTTTACCCGTGAAACTGTTCTGCCCGAAATCACTGCAGAGGGGAAAAGATGTATAGGAGTGATAAGCATAACATGATATGTAAAAATGTAGGCACAAACACATGCTCATATGCAAGCATGCCAATTCCGCTGTGCGGTGCGGCGAAGTGCACTGCACTGCACCGCACTACACCGCTCTGAAGCACTCACCACACTGAAATACTTACAGGCTTTGTAGAGTGCGAAATCTCGACAGCTCCTTGCCTGGCAGGGGCCCAATAGAACCCACTGTTCTCCACTCTACTGCTCTGAACCGCTCTACACCACATTGAACCACTCACAGGCTTTGTAGAGTTCGAAATCTCGACAGTTCCTTGCCTGGTAAGGGCCCTGTAAGCCCCTCCGCTGTGAAGTTTCTGTGGTTGAGGGCAGGGAGCCGGGGGCGGAGGGGTGGGGGGACGGGTGCAGGCGGTGGGGCGGGTGTGAGGGGAGGAGGAGGAGGGTGGTTGGGTAGATACGAGCACGAACCGAACTCAAACGTGTTTGAGCAAACCTTTTCGAACCTTGCATGTTGGTCGAACCGAACCGAACAGGTTTGCTCAAACCTTTTTCATACTTTTAAGGTTTGAGTAAACAATGGCGAACCCTAAAGGTTTGCTCAATTTTAAGGTTTGAGCAAACTCGAACCTTTTTAGGTTTGAGGTTTAAAATGATGCACATGTTATTATAAAACACATGCATGTCTAATGGTTTATGAAGGCGCACTAATCTGTCTTACCTAACAAACGAAATGCTTGGTAGGCTCTAGAGAAACCGCGTCACTCTACTTCTCTAGAGCCTAAAGTAGAAGTAGATCTAGATCTACTCTACTAAGTTATCGAGACTAGGGTTGGCTGCCGTGAAATGGCAGCCAACCCTAGGACTTTCCCGTTTTTGACGGGAAAGTCGCGAGGATTTCTGTACGTTGGGAATTTATTTCGAACCCCTCGCGGTTCGAAGTAACTAGATTCGAACTTCGAACCTGTTCAGTTCAAGGTTCGAATCTCGAACCGTAAAAGTTCGCACGAGCAGTTCGCGCAAACTTCAGTCAGGTTTGCGCGAACTTTTTTTACGAGAAAAAAAAGTTTGGTTCGAGATATCTCGAACCGAACATCTCGAACCGAACTTAAGTTCGGTTCAATGCTCATATCTAGCTGGGGTGAGCGGGATTTTAGAGTCATCTCGACAGCTCCTTGCCTGGTAAGGGCCCTGTAAGCCCCTCCGCTGTACAATTTCTGTGGTTGGTTGGGGGAGGTAGGGGGGGCGGGTTGGAGGGGGAGTGGGACGTGTAGGAGTTTAGAGTCAACGCAAAAGCTCCTTGCCTGGTAAGGGCCCTGTAAGCCCCTCGGCTGTGAAGTTTCTGTGGTTGGGTGGGGGGCGGGAAGGGGGACGGGGAGACGGGTGGAGGGAGGGGGTGGAGAGGGGGTGGGGATGGGGTGTGGAGCATTGTGAGTCATCTTGACAGCTCCTTGCCTGGTAAGGGCCCTGTAAGCATCTCCGCTGTGAAGTTTCTGTGGTTGGGGTGGGAGAGGGGAGCAGGGGGAACGGGGGAAAGGGCCAGGGAGACGGGTGAAGGGAGGGGGTGGAGGAAGGGCGGAGTGTGGATGATCTGTCCCGCTTCGTTGCACATGACTCTATCTCCCCATGCCCCACTGCACGGATCCCCCGTGTCACTGTAAGCAGAGACGGCTCCCCGGTCACGGAGGACTCCCAAGCAGAAGATTCAGGAAACCTGCCAGCAACCGCGTCACTCTAACAAGATTCTTACAGCGTGATGATCTGTCCTGCCTCGTTGCACGTGACTCTATCTCCCCATGCTCCACTGCACGGATCCCCAGTGTCGCTGTAAGCGGAAAGGGCTCCTGGGGAAGACTCTGCTAGCACACGCTTCAGTGAAACTAGCTCCCACACTGGAAGTATGGAAGAAGCAATGAAGCGGGAACAGGGGAAAACGTGGGAGCGGGGACAGCATTGTTAGTACGCGTTTCAGTGACTAACTCTCACACTGGGGTGTGGGAAAAGGAATAAGCCGAAGGTCATGCACGACCAACGACCTAACTTGTAGCGACGGTACGCAATAGATAGCTTCGACAACGAGGGTGGCGATGACGGCGACGCTGAAGGAAGCACTTACGCCCAGGACTAGCGGCCGTTGCGAAGATGGTGTGGTAACCAGCCGTTGTAACGGTCGCGAGGACTAGCGACCAGAACACGGCGAGCTGGCGACGCAGGCGACTCGTTAGTGCGTGCTTCATTAATCCGCATCGTCCTAGCGTGACCGACGGAGCGAATGAACGCCTACGATTGCCTTTCGTTAACGTGGCCATTATCTGGCCGTACGATCGCGATGTTTCTGTCATTGCGTCCTGAAGAGTCTCCCATCAACGCGAAAAGCCTGCATGATTGCTGTCCCCGATAATGCGATGCTTAGATGGCTCCGATAAGAGGTTACATAGCTCTGACAACAATATGACACCCAAAGAGCTCTTAAAGCTTAGAAATTTCTGAACGCGAAAGTCCCAGGACGAGTCGCGGACTGAGGATCTGTCAGCTGCTACTCTCACGGCGATGCGGAAACGGTATTCTCTAGGAACTGATTTGATGGGTGGTGTTGGTGGTGGCGGCAACGAAACCGACTTTCTGCGTTGTCAGACTGCATCCTTGCTATTAGTTGAACCGTAACTTGTAAAGTACACCATCCGAACAGTTCATCTGGCAACCCGTAACCAGGAATTATGTAAGAGTTTAAAACAACTCTGGATAAAAGCCAAGGCGTGATGGCAAATCTACTGCTGCTCTAAGCTCCCTCTGCACCTTTCGCCTTTCAAAGAACACGGGGCAATCAAGTGACACGCAAGCTACATCAAAATTATCCAACCCATGACAGCTGGACGAATTGTCTTCGCCTTGGTTTGTCCTAGAGACAGCAGGAAATGCACCACAGTCAGAGCAGATCTGCCCAAGGTATTGCAACGAACAATTATTCAGAATTCGAATTGTATATAAACATATAAATGTATATGTGAAAATAAAAGGACGCTTACCGCTGATAGATGCCGGAATTCTTTCTCCAAAAGGGCAGCTCTCATCGTCAGCACCAGCGCTGGCACCTGACCAAGCTCCCCTGCTTGACCTGGATGACTTTCTTGACCCTCAGCAAAAACACTCACACCCTTAACACCACCACCTCTACCACTACCACCATGAGCCTCGCTGGGATCTGCCCCAATGCCTCTACACGAGCTGCAGATTGGCACAGCACAGCACCCATCTGCATCCCCTGCTCTGCTGCTTGCCTCCACCCCAGGCGCAGCCAGCCCTGCTTTTTCCACCCCTTCCTGCCCCATCATGCCCTGCTGATTACCCCCTCCCTCTTCCCCTGTTTCCACCGTTTCTCCCCTGCCTACTCCCACTCCTCCTCCCCCTCCCCCTCTTCCTAATCCTCCTCCGCTTCCTCTTACTCCTGCTCCTTCCATTCTGCCTCCTCCCCATACTCCTCTGTCAACACTACCTCCCATCACCCTCTCTCCCCTCGCCTGTTCCACCACCACCCTCCCACAAACCACACAGTGCACACTCCCATAATAATGGTCAATCCTGCCTTGCCCCCTCCCCCTTCCTCTCCCCCTTCCCCTCCCTCTCCCCCTCCCCCTCCCCAGTATACCCCCCCTCCACCGCCCCTGCCCCTGCCCCGGAAAAACACTCCCCCTAGTCCCCAACCCCTCCCCCTCCTGCCACGTCAGCAGAGGCTGCTTCCCCAACCCAACCCGCTGCGACAGTGGCAGCTCGGCGAACCACGACGCGACACGTGTCCCCACCAGCGCAAACACCCGATGCAGCGCGGGAATCACCTTCCTTGTGATATAATACCCCACATTCAGCCGGAGACACTGCGAATCTACCACCACCCGAGGCTCCACCACCAAATCAACCAGTCTGGACCCAGGGTCACCGCACACAATCACATACTGAACCCTCTCCTTGAATTTAGGCTCGGCGCGAGGGTCTCTCTGCATGGCTTTGGTGGCCACGATGGCCGCGGGGGGGGAGGGCGCGGGGATTGGTGCTGTAGGTGCCCAGGCGAACCTCCTGGGCGAATATGAAGTCTTGGAGGGATACCCTCCCTTGTAGCATGCGGTGCCACTGGCGCACCAGGTAGGATCGCACCTGGGATGGATAGAGGGGAAGGAGTGGTGGAGCGGGGAGTGGAAAAGGGATGAATGGGGAGGAGGGCGCGGGGGTTGGTGCTGTAGGTGCCCAGGCGAACCTCCTGTGCGAATATGAAGTCCTGGAGGGATACCCAGCCCTGCAGCATGCAATGCCACTGCCGCACCAGGTATGATCGCACCTGTTGGAGGGCGGAAAGGACAAACGGTCGAGTCTCCTTTACTTCTTGAACAAAGAGCTGTTAAATCTGGGAGACCTCTCCAATAGCTTGCTCACAGCAGGACACCCATCCCGCCTGACTGTCTCAATCTCCTTAGCGTTCAAACTCGCTCCTTTTCATGTCAAACTCACACTGGATAGATCATTCTTGGAGAACAAAATCTTGAGAGTTTTTTCCAAGAGCTTGCTCACAGCAGGGCATCCGTCCCTCCTTGCCATTCAGAAACACCCCTTTCCATATCAGACTTACTCTGGATAGATCGTTGGTGGAGAACAGAATTTTGAGCGATTTCTCCAATAGCTTGCTCACAGCAGGACACCCATCCCGCCTGACTGTCTCGATCCCCTTGGCGTCAAACACAGGGGGACACGTGGCAGCAGGGGATTCGTACGCGAGGCCCACGTATCGCTTCTTGGTCTGCAGCACACACGGGTGGTAGACCTTCTCTAGCTTGAGAGCCACCGGGGCTGGTGAAAGCGCGGTTACCGCTGTAACGATCTCGTTGCCGATTGTGAAGGCTTGTTCTCGCGTGCGACCTTCCAGGAGAACGAACATGCTGCAGGCGGGGAGTGGAGGGGAGAGAGATGGAGTGGGGCAAGAGCAGGAGATAGTTTGCTCAAGGACAGCAAGGAGGCCCACGTATCGCCTCTTGGTCTGCAGCACACACAGGTGGTACACCTTCTCTAGCTTGAGAGCCACCGGGGCTGGTGAGAGTTCAGTTACCGCTGTTACGATCTCATTCCCGATCGTGAATGCCTGTTCTCTGGTTCTGCCTTCCAGCAGAACGAACATGCTGCAGGGAGGGAGGCGGAGAGGGGAGAGAGGGGACAAGGGAGAGGGGGAAGCTGAAGGGGAGGAGAGGGGGAAGCTGAAGGGGAGGAGAGGGGGAAGGAGGACGGGAGCATAAGTGAAGCGAGCAGGAGCAGTAGACGCAACAGAACTCTGGAAGCACCCACCTGTCAGTGTCACCATAGACCACCCTAGCGTTCCACGATGGATGGCTGTTCACCAGAGCTATCGCCCTCTCTAGTGTTGTTCGTCCTGCCTGCAAGTGAGGATATGAGGCAGCATGGGGGGAGAGGGGAGAGAGGGCGACCAGAAACCTGTTTGAAGTGATGTTGATACGTTTCAGCAGAGCACTTAGGAGGCACTCCCATACGCAACATCGCAACAAAGAATGCAACGGTGACCATGACCTTGCTCTGACTTCGATGGGATATGAGCGGCAGTTAGAAAAACCAAAGCACAACCCCGCCAGCTCAGCTTGACCTGGAAAATCCCGCCTGCCACCTCAGTCTGACCTGGACAATTCCGCTGCCACCTCAGCCTGACCTGGACGATGCTGTCTGCCAGCTCAGCCATGGGCATGCGACCGGAGAACGAGGCTGCAGTGTAGCCATAAGTAACATTGGCGATGAGCTTGAGGGCAAACTGCCGGGCGTTCAGCACGCGGTGCAGCACGCGGCTCTGCTTCCCTGGTGGCAGCTTCTTCATCGCCTTTTTCACCATCACCCTCGTTGCTAGGATCTCTTTTAACAGCCGTGGCAGCACACCCGGTCGCACCTGGTTTGTAGGGGGGCATCATGCAGAGCAGAGCAGAGGGAGGTGGGAGGGGGGTGACAAGGAGAACGAGGTGTATGATGTACCCATAGGTGACGTTACCAATGATCTTGAGAGCAACTTGTCGTGCGTTCAGCACGCGGCGCAGCACCCGGCTCTGTTTTCCCGGGGGAAGTTTCTTCATTGCCTTGTTCACCATCACCCTTGTCGCTAATGTCTCCTTCAGCAACCGTGGCATCACGCCTGGGCGCACCTAGAGGGTTGAGGGGGGAGGGGAGAAGGGTGGAAAGGGGTGAAACGGGGTGGGAAGCGGTGGGAGGGTGGGAGACTGGCATTGGGAGATGAGCTAGGATTTGTAATGGCAGCATGCGCGGGGGCACATGGGGGCTGGATTGGGGCCCCCATGCGCGGGGGCACATGGGGGCTCGCTGACACATGTTTCAGTGCGTTGGCGTTGTAACGCATGGCATGGGTTTCCCACATGGCTCACAACTCTAACAACTCAAATATTCGAACAAGACTCACCTTGGGCGGCACATACATCACTGCATTGGGCAGCAGCAGCAGGTCGTCCTTCAATGATGACACGACACCTGGCGGCACGCGATAGGTCGTCACGCCCAGCGGCCTCTCCTCCTCGCCCCACCACTGCTTCTCCCCCTCACCACCCTGATGAAGGTTGCCTCCAGGAGACGCTTTCTGAGCCGCTGCTGCTGCAGCAGAGGCAGTGGCAGAGGCAGCAGCACCATTGGCAGCGGCAGCAGGAGCAGCAGCAGCAGTGGCAGCAGTAGTTGAAACACCAGCACCAGCAGCAGGTGCACCGTCAGCAGGAGCAGCAGCAGCATCACCACCATCAGCAGCAGCGGCGCCAGCAGCAGAGGAGGAGGGGGGCGGGATGCGGCCTAGGCAGGAGGAGAAGCAGAGGTTGTGTGCGATGAGCATGGAGGGGTAAAGCGATTGGAAGTCAAGCACCACCACAGGGCTGGTGTAGTAGCGACACTCTGGCTCCATCACTAGGGGGATGCACGCTGGGGCCGGCTGGGAGGATACCTGGGTGGGGGGAGGAAGTGACAAGTGGCAGGGAGAAGAGAAGAAAAGATAGCGTGGAGGAGGGGTAGAGCGACTGGAAGTCAAGGACCACCACAGGGCTGGTGTAGTAGCGACACTCTGGCTCCATCACTAGGGGATGCACGCTGGGGCGGGTTGGAAGGATACCTGGAAACGGGAGGGAGAAGCAGCAGAGGTTGCATGGCATGAAGGGGGAAAAGAGAGACATAGGCTGTGTGGGTAGAAAGCACCACAACAGGGCTGGTGTAGTAGCGACACTCTGGCTCCATCACTAGAGATATGCACGCTGGCGCGGGCTGGGAGGACACCTGGGGGGGGGGGGGGGGGGGGGGGGGGGGGTGATGGAGGGAGTGAAGGCACGAGAGGAAAAAAGGAGCAGAGTTTGTGACGAGGGCTAGAGCAATTGAAAGGCAAGGAAGCACGACCACGGGGCTGGTGTCGTAGCGACTTTTGAGGCGCCTCAAGGAAGCACCACCACGGGGCTGGTGTAGTAGCGACACTCTGGGTCCATCACTAGGGGAATACATGCTGTGGCGGGCTGGGAGGACACCTTGGGGGGACAGGGAGAGAGGGGGGGCAAGAGAGAAAAAAGGAGCAGAGGTTGCGTGGAGGGGTAGAGCGACCAAAAGTCAAGCACGACCAACAGGAGACTGAAAGTCTAGCACCAACAGGGGGCTGGTGTAGTGGCGAGATGAGGAGGCAGTTCCAGGAGTGTGCAAGGCACAACAACACCATGATTCAACTCAGTACTGGGAGGAACTCCCTGATGATTCAAGCAAGTCTGACGGCATGCAGTGTCGCATTGATAGCCTTGCATGGTTTCCACAATGCTTACCTGCATTCGAGAGGGCGAGATGAGGAGGTAGTTCTGGGAGTGTGCGAGTCGCAGCATCATGGATTCGACTCGGTACTGGGAGCCCCGTGATAGCACCGAGAAGAAGTCAATTCCAAACACCCGCGCCAGCTCCGCCGTGCGGTTCACCTTATAACGAGGATGGGAGTGAGTCAGGGCAGGAAAGGAGAGATCAAAAGGAGGTGATTTTAGAAACCGATGCGAAAGACAAGAACTAGCTCTGATCTTTGACGGCACTTAGAACAAGAACCGATGCGAAGGATTTGTTACGCGCACTCAAAACTTAGTATTTTGAGTCGACTCAAAATAAATGCGATCTATGTAGCACCACTCACAACGTCCAGGTGGTGCATCATGTCAAGATTCAGCCGGGCTCTCGCCACGAAATGCTCGATGCACCGCCAACGTTGCACCCTCCCCACTGCCGCTGCCACTGACGCCGCCGCCGCTGCCGCTGCCGCCGCCGCTGCCGCTGCTGCTGTTGTTCCTCCCTCTCCGATCCCCCCACCTGTTGCTCCTCCTGCTGCTGAAGCTGCTGCTCCCCCTCCCCCTCCCCCTCCCCCTCCCCCTCCCCCTCCCCCTCCCCCTCCCCCTCCCCCTCCCCCTCCCCCTCCGCCTCCCTTTCCCCCTCCCCCTGCACCCCCAGCCCTCCACCACCCAGTCAGCGTGCACCAATCATACTTCGCCACGTGTCGCCTCAGCACAGCGAGCACCACCGCATGGAACGAGTAAACCGGCAGTTTCACCTCAGCCCGCATCACCCGCCACAGGTTTATCATGATCCGCCCGGCCACGTGCAAGCCGCTGCCATGCGTTTTCCCCCACTCGTCTGCCACTATTGCGTCATCGTCCCCCCGCCCGCGGCCTCCTCCTCTCCTTCTCACCCACCTCTCCCTCTCCCCATCGCCTGTCGTGCCTTCTTCCCCTACTCCTCCTCCTGTTCCCCCTCCTCGTTCTCCTCCCTCCCCTGGCCGTCCCAGAGGTCCCTTTCCTCCCACCATCCGTCCGTCACCCCTATTCGGTCTCTCATCCCCTTTCCCCGCTCCCCCTCCCCCCCCTTCCCCTCCTGATCCCCCCCCTGCCACTCTCCCCCCTGCTCCCCATCCTCCTCCTGCCCCCCCAACTGCTCCCCCAGCTGACGTGGCAGGGATGAGGAGAGGCCACGTGGAAGGGTCATCTGCCAGAACGGCAGAACCAGCACAAGCTTTCCTCCCTCTACCCCCCTGTGTATGCATATGCGTTTGTGCCTGCACCTGTGCACCAAATGTGGTTGAGTTCATCTGTACACATGCCTCCACAGGCACATCAGCTGCTGCTGCATGTGCGTGTGCATGTGCAGGGGGGAGGGCGAATCCCCCGAACCCACGGTGCCAGGCGCTCATGTCTTGAGGCACGGGGACGGACTGGGAGGGGGAGAGTGGAAACGAGAGGATGGGGGGGGGAGAGTGGATGTGGGACGGGGCAACTGGCTGCTGCTGCTGCTGCTGTTGCTCCTGAGATATTCAAGCTGGTGTCCGGAGTGGTGGTGTCAGGTGGAGCAGCGTCAGGAGTGGTGACGTCAGGTGGAGTAGCATCAAGAGAGGCAGTGGCAAGAGGAGGTGAAAGGGGTGACTGGGAAGGGCCCATAGGAGGGAAAGATGGGGAGGGGTGCAGCTGGGACTGCAAGGGGGACATGGGGATGTGCTGGGAATCCAAGGGCTCTTGGGATGTGACTGCTGCGCGAGGTGACTGTAACGGAATTGGCTGTGCTGGTGCTGGATGTGACTGTGGCGTGTGTGACTGTACTGGGTGTGAATGCACCGGCTGTGACTGCACCAGAGCTGGTGGCGTTGACGAGGCAGGTGCTTTAAGTGTGTCACACTTAAACTGCGTCCTTCTCTGCACTACCCTCGCATCGTGCACGGGCGGCACTCTAGAGAGCGATTTGAGGAGATTAAAGCCCAGGTGCTGCGCTCTTTCTGCCAGCCAACCCCAGGAGCCCCCCTGCACCTCCCATCCCAGCAGTATATCCGGATCGTACTCCCTCACCACTGCCACTAGTCGCTCGAGAAGAGAAACCTCTGAGGATAGCAGATGGATGCGGCAGGACGACAGGGCGTCAGGGTTCCTGGAGGTGAGATAGGGGAGGAAAACGGGACGGGATACAAAGGAAACCAGAAGAGAGAACGCAGGTTGAACAAATGAAGCCGCCAACAGGAGGTCCCCTGCACCTCCCACCCCAGCAGTATGTCCTGGGTCATACTCCCTCACCACTGATACCACTCGCTCCAACAGGGCAGTTTCTGAGGATAGCAGGTGGAGGCGGTAGGATGAGAGGGTGTCAGGATTCCTGAGGTGAAGAAGCAGAAGGAAACGGAGCAGAATACAGAAAACAGAAACCCAGGTGCTGCCAGCCAACCCCAGGAGCCCCCCTGCACGTCCCACCCCAACAGTATGTCTGCCTGAGTCATACTCCCTCACTACTGCTACAGCTAGAAAGAACAGTACCTGCGCCTTCCCTCCAACTCGCCTCAACACCAACACAACCACCTCACACACACACTCCCCTGCTGCTAGGGGCACAATCAATGAATTACCTGCGGGAAAGGCCTGAAGGAGAATCCTCAAGCACCAACACATCCACCTGTGCCTTCCCTCCAACTCGCCTCAACCTGATTCGCCTCCCCCCTCCCCTGCTTCCACTCCCTGCTGCCTCTCCTTGCTCGCTTCTCCACTCCCCTCTCCCCCGCTCTTCATCCTCATCCGCTACCTCCCCGTCCCTATTCCCCTCACCTTCACCCTCAACATCCTCCTCCTCCTCCTTGTCCCCGTCCCCCTCCCCTTCCCCCTGTGTAGCCAGAACGACACAGCACAGCGCGTCAAGAGCAGGGTCAGGGAGCAAGTCCCCTCTGGTGCATGCAAGCACCTCCGCACTCATGCCCACCACGTGCTCGCAGCAAGAGGACGAGGCAGAGGAGGAGGGCAGGGAGGAGGAACAGGCTGTTTTCTTTCTCTCGCCTGTGTTTCTCCCACTATCTGCTGCATCATCCTTCATAGCTTCGGCTTTCGCTCCACCCTCCTCCTTTTCCTCCTCCTTTTCCTCCTCCTTCACTTTTGTTAGCGTCACCTCCTCCATCTCATTCTCAAGCCTCCTCTTTTCTCCTCCAACTTCCCCCGGACCCCCTCGTCCCTCATCTCCTTCTGCCTTCTCTCCTCTTCTCCCTCCTCCCGCTTCGCTCATTTCCTCACTTCTCCCCTTCTCTACACTCCCCTCCTTCTCTCCACTTCCCTTATCTCCACTCCCCTTTTTTCCACTCTTACTCTCCCTGAACCCTGATTGGCTGACCGGAGTGGCAGCCTGAGTTGCCGGGGTAAGCTGGGAGAAATCTCGCCACCTGGCAGCCCCTGATTGGCCGAGACCATACCCCTTCCTCACCCCAGAACCAGGTTCACCGAACGGCCTAGAAACACCTGAATATCCACCTGGGATTCTGCTAGATTGGATATGATATGCTTCTGGAGAAACAGGAGAGGCAGAGGAAGGAAAGGGGGGCAAGGAGAAGGGAGAAAGGGGAGGGCGGAGACTCTGTGTGGGGAGTGTGGGGAGGAGAGTGGGAGGGGGTGACTGGATGGGAGGGGGTGACTGGAGGAGAGTGGATGGAGGGTGAGAGGGGTTCAGACCGGTGGTAGCAGGAGAAGGAGGTGTAGGCGGGGACTCTCCAATAGGGAGAGATGAATTTCCCATAGGTGAGTCTCCCGAAACAGCAGGCGCAGAAGTAGCAGCAGAAGAAGCAGCGGTGATGGTGGCAGCAGCAGCAGCAGCAGCAGCAGCAGCAGCAGGGGTGGTGGTGGTGGGACTGGCAGCGGCCCCAGCAGCTGAGGACAAGCGGAGGACAGAAGGGGGGATGCGAGGAGGCGGCATGGAGCTGAATGTGACTCGAGACCGAGACTGAGAAGAATGGAAATGCGAATGATCAGAGGGTGACTTCAGAATTCCCTGGGATTCAAAAGACTCTGGGATCACAGGGCCCTCCTTTCTTCCACTCTCCTCTTCGCATGCTGCTGATTCATCCGGGATTTTCCTCCTCCTTCGTTCTGATATCGATCTTAATCCAGACCTTGGCCTGGACCTTGCCATCGACCTTGTGCTCCAAGTGGGGGATCTGAGGCGTGATTGTGACTGTACAGGGGGGGACAGCAGCTGCGTTGTAAGCACGTGCCCCTCATTCCACTTGGGCGACGCAGGCCTTTCAAAGATTCCTTCATCATCATCATCACTACCCTTCTCTCTATCCTCATAAACAACACCTCCTTCCTCCTTGCCCTCATCACCCTCTTCTCCCTCACTTTCCTCTTCCCCCTCTTCCCCCTCCTCTCCCTCATCCCCATTTCCTCAACCTCTCTCCTCCACCTACCCACATCACTCCACGTCCCCCAACCAAACTCCCCCTCCACCTCCTCCCCATCTTCCCCCACCGCCGCACTCCTCCTCCCACCTCCTCTCTTCGCCTCCAAACCCTGCCTGTCCCCTCCACTCCTGATTCCACCTCCCCTGGAACCCGCCTCCCCCTTCCTTGAGTTCCCACCCACCAATCCTTTTCCTGCCTCACTTTGTCCCCCGTCCAGCACACCAGCCTCTTGGACAAGCAACTGGCCTGTGTTGGGATCAAGGGCGAAGTCGGCCTGCTGCTCCACAATTGGTTGTCTTGCACTGCATTCATGACCGTGGGTGGGCGAATCACTAAAACCAGCACCACCAGCACCACCAGCACCACCAGCAGCCCCGGCATAACCAGCAGCACCACAAGCAGCAGCGGCAGCAGCAACATCAACACCACCACGAGCTGCACCAGAAGCAGCACCTCTATCAGCTTCAGCTTTAGCACCTCTAACTGACACAGCTCTTTCCTTAAATCCCACACTTTCTTTTATGCTCGCCACCCCCCTCCTACCCTCTCCCCTGCTTCTCAAGTAAGAAGCACGTTTTTCCTTCCTTCTCTCCAACAGACCTTCTCTTACCGCCCAAACCTCCACCCGCCGCCGAGAGGGCGGCTGATGAGCTGGCACAATCTGATAGGACGTCCGGCCGAGCCTGTCGACTCGGCTCGGCACGCCAGGTACGGGCTCCCCCTCCCAAGCCAGCCTAGGGGCGGGCCAGCGCACCGAAGCTGCTGCAGCTGCTGCAGTGGCCACAGCAACAGGCGCTGCAACTGAAGTACTGGTGCTGCCACCATTCAACAGGCGAATGGGACAGATGGGTGCAGAGTGGTCTGGTGCGTCTAGGAAGCCAGGGAGGGCGGTGGAGGGGGTGAGGGAGGTGAGGAAGGGCAGCGCGGTGTTGAAGGTGGAGTGGGAGCGAGGGCCGGAGGGGGCGAAGGAGAAGGCAGGGAGGTGAGCATCATGTGCTGAGAGGACTGCAATGGGGTGGTGGGGATGGGTACAGTGGGATGGACAGAGGGGATAGAGGGGTCAAGTGTGGTGAGACTGAGGAAGGGCGGCGCGGTGTTGAAGGTGGAGTGGGAGCGAGAGCCGGAGGGGGCGAAGGGGAAGGCAGGGAGGTAAGAATCATGCGCTGAGAGAACTGTTGGGTGGTGGCGATGGGGACAGTGGGATAGATGGGCAAAGAGAACCAAGAGGGATAGTATACTGAAATCCAACAACATAGACAGCGATAAAAAAAAACAAAAACAAAACTGGGATACATGCATACACACATGTAATATCTGGACAGTATATGAACAAAAGACATGTATCTCCAAATGCAAACTTACTTTTGAATTCCTTCCCGCCAAAAACCGGATGCCTCTCAGGCATGTCCCTGATGTCACTGTAGTACACGTCAGGCCACTGCACACGTGGCAAGCCATGGGCCTGCCACGTGTCCCTCAGCTCCTGCAACGAGGGAGGCGCCCTGTGATACACCAACGGGCCTACCAACTGTTCTTCTGTTGAGACTGATTGTAATGAGAGGCGGGATGCAGGCCTCTCTTTAAGCACGACAGGGAAGCGGCGGGATGGGAGGAAGGTGCCGGGAAGCTGAGAGGGGGGGGAAGCAGGAACAGGTGACGGCGGCGTCTGAGGGGTTTGCGGGGTTTGAGATGTGTGGTGAGGCGTCTGGGGAGTCTGCGGCGTCTGGGGCGTTTGCACCGTTTGTGGGGTTTGAGATGTGTGTGGCGTCTGGGGAGTCTGCGGCGTGTGGGGCGTTTGAGGCGTCTGGGGAGTATGAGGTGTGTGGAGCGTTTGCACCGTCTGAGGC